CGTCCTTGGCACCCCGCAACTCCTGGACTTCTTTGAGCTGGTGCAAGAGCTGCTATCGATTCGGACACGTACGTGGCTACATTGCGGAAGCACATCGCTACCTGTGTCCTAGACCGAACAAACGACCGCGCCACCGTGCCAGTGTTCTGGAAGCTCATCTGCAGATGCCCGAAAGCGGAGGCGCTGCGCGATGCAGATCGGGACGAGCTGATGTGTTTTCTGCAACCGCTCGACCTGCACTATGTCCGTCCGGCTAGACTCAAGAGCATGGGCTTCGCGCTCTGGAAAGACCTGCCACGTCCCGGGGTGCTGTATCAGACCAGAGGAGACAAAGTTGGCGCTTGGACCTCGATCGGGCATCTACCTGGCCGTGGGTAGTACGCAGTCGATAGTTTCACGATTTCTGCGTCAGGGCCGGAGCGCAGCGCCTTTTTCCAACCCAACCCATCGTATCGCAACTGGACGAGGCTCTGCGCGCAATTGAGTGCTGAAACCAAAAGCACAAGAACATGAGCCACAAGCAATAACAGCAGCCACGCTTCCACCTCCACCGCTGGCAATCCCAGAGAGGATGAAAAGCCGACAGCGGCCCGTCACCGTGACTAAGAACAGTGCAGCGAAGCAGTTGAGCTATGGAGGGGCAGGCGCTCTCGACCAGTGCTTGGACATAGACGAACGGATGAAAATCATGCCTCTGGACAACGGGCTCAGGGCGTAACTTATCTGGCGCTGGGGACAGGAGCGGATACGATGGAATCCGATAAGAGATGTGATTGGCGCACTCTAAAAGCAAAGCAGGTCATACATCTAGAGTAGCCTTGCGAGATCATACTGTCATCTCGACACCCAACCACGGTGCAATGGACCAAGGGGTGCAGCGAACACTCTCTGCAGCCAACTTTGAGTCACTGGTGACGGCGAGGAGGGCCTGTGTAATTTGCCCAGTGATGATCTCCTCCCCCCTCGCATCTGCCAAGCGTTGGACTTCCTTGAGCTTCTGCGCAGCAGCATCGCCACCAGCCCCAAGGGCTAGTGCACGTCGGACGAGCGCCTCGCCAAGCTCTAAATGCCGCTCCGTTGGTGCATTGGGATTTTGCAAAGAAATCTTAAGATGATTAAGCGCTGGCTCGTCGTCACCCTGGTAATGGAAACCAAATTAATGAGAGTTTTGTGACCAGACCAAGCTTGAACTCACTTTTCGGAAGCGATCGAGCGCCGATAGCGTTGCAATCGAGCCCTGTGGATCGAGAGTTTCGAGCTGCTCTGGAGAATATTGGCGGACCTCGGATAGTGCGGCATCAAACAGCTCTTCGTCGCCCTCCTGAATGCCGCAGGCGCCGAGCAGCCCGACGGCGGCAATCGAATCTGGGTACTCAGAGAGCCTATGGGCTGCAGCATTAGCGACCGTTTGGGAGAGCCAGTATGCCTAAAACTTACAACTCCATAAGTTGACCCGTCGTCACTTCGCTGTTGCCCATAGCATCGGTGCACTGTGCTAATAAGCAGGTGATATGAATCTTCATCTGCGCTAACTTTGGCTGCGTGACAAGGAGATCAGGTGTTAATAATTGTAGAGCCGAATCGAATCCACCCGTCGCTCCTTCATAATCTTTCCTGAGATAGTGAGCCATTGCAGCGCCGGCAAGTGCATGGACGCGCGCGCAGACAATGTTGAAAGGCTGCACGCTGAGTCTTTCGCCCTCCGCGCTTGGTTCGAGCTGTTCAGGATCCTCCAAAAGGGCTTGGGCACCTTCGAATGCCGCCAGTGCTTCCAAAGGACGACGCTGGGAAAGGCGGATCCTGCCGAGGTTGACTTGCGATATGGCATACTTCATCGCTATCTCTGGATCCTCAGACGCTTCATATTCAGCCTCAAGGAGAGATGCAGCAGTCTCGATACGCTCGACCGCCAATGCATGCTGGCCCAGCCTTTCGGCAAAGAGAGACGCCAGGTGCAGTACCGACGTGTCCATTGGCCTGATAGAAAGGTAGCAAGAGAGTGCAAACGCTGGAGAGTGGAGGTTGACGCTCCGAGGCGGGTTCACGGAAGAGAAGAGCGCGAAGATTGCGCATGCAAACTGTTTGTCTGCCTCTAGCTGTGGAGCAGAAACGAAGGTTAGAAGGCTTGGGTCACCTTGCTGGGATGTCGGGTCACACTTACGAGAGATCCTTCGCTGAGGCGGAATGCGTGCTCAAAGAGCACACGAGCCGCGCGCTCGTCCTGATGAGAGGCAGCTACGAACCCCTGGCCGACCCATGCCTGAGCCCAGTCTGGGTCGAGAGTTTGCGCACGAATGAAGGCTTCGTTGGCCAACTCAACATCACCGTGCCGCAAGTAGAGAAAGCCGAGGTCGCTCCATGGAATTGGGCTCTGTGGTCGCATTGCATCAGCTCGAATCAGGTGAAAAGGAAGACAGATGCAAGAAGGGGAGACGTACTCTGGGGTTGCACTCGATGGCCATAATGTAAGCGTGCTGTGCAAGTTGGATGCTCTTGTCAAAGGAGAGGCCTCCGAGCACCGTCCAATACCGGCCATTATATGGCTCCACCTTGAGAGCCTGCTTAATGCAGCCAATCGCCATTTTCAAAGCGTGCACGTTTGCCTCTTGTTTGGAGGTGCTCGGCAGTGCAGGGCTGCGCGACAGTGCCGAAAGTGCGACAGAAAGATCGTACCACGCCGCACCTGCCAGAGACTCTGAGGAGCCATTCAGGACGACGATAAGCTTGTAGAGATGGGTCGCGAGAAGGAGGCAAGTCTGCGCTGCGTCTTCTCGCGCTTCTAGGGCGCTCGGAAGATTACCAAGTGGCACGGCGGGCACCTTTTGGTCGACATGCTGTTCTTTTAGAAGCGTAGCGAAAGACTCCTTGAGAGTTCCAAGCTGGTCAGAGATGTCAGGCTGTGCCATACGTGAGAGCTCAAAAAGCGCATCGGCTGCGCTCTTCCAGGCAGACCGAAGATGGGGGACTTCGTGTAGAGCAGTCAATGCTTCTTGAACCGTTCGAACAAATGAGGAGCGGGCGCGGGCAGTGTAGCCCATTTCGATCTGCCGTCGTCCGCTGTCCAGCTGCGCCTCAGCAAGGCTGACGCGTACAGCGACCTGATCCGTATGATTCTGGATGATCTGCTCGAACGTGAAGATGGCAGCGTCGTACTCTCCGATCTGCCTGTGCACATCGGCGATGGTGAACTGAATCTCCCAAGTGCCCTTCTCGCCTGCTGGAGAGAATCTTTGCGCCTTTTCGAGGGCACGAAGTGCTGCTGTGTGCCTTCCTGACCTGGCATACGCGTCTCCGAGCAAGTGCCATAACGAAGGGTCCTCTGGCTCGTTGCGCAGAGCAATCTGGAAGGCGACTATGCTCTCTTCGTACTTTTGATTCTGCAACTCGACCGAGCCGATTGCACGCCACGCCCACGTGTTCTTGCTAAAGTGCAGCCTGGCGGGCGTTTTAGTCCCTTGCAGCGCGTCCTCTCCGCCTTCACCCTTAATCGTGCGACGGGCGACTACCTCGACTAGATCCCACTCACGTTCGTCAGCGAAGCCTTTCGCCAGTCGATGCGCAGCTTCGCTCTCGCGTGCGTCGAGCTCGAATGCCTTTTGGAAGCACTTGGCGCTGCGGTCGAGGTCGGGCGGCGAGATGGTGTTGTAGTAAATCCCCAGCGAAGTGAAGGCTGGTGCAAAGGCGGGCGAGCGCTTGAGCGCTGTGATGAAGCATGTAAATGCATTGGCTGGGTCCAACTGCGAGGACCCGCCCATGCGCCACAGGCACTGTCCGTAACGCCACCACGTCTTCGCGCGCTGCTCTGCAGTGACGCCTGGGGTGTTGAGAGGATCGATGACGTCGAGCAGGCTTTTGAGTTCCTGCTTCGCATCTTCCAAGCGACCAGACTGAACGTCACACCATGCTACTTCACCCCTAGCCTCGAGTAGGGGACTTTTAGAATGCGCTAGAGCAGATGGGGCGGGCGCCTGGCCGGCGTCGTCTTGGGCTGTCTCTTGCAGGCTTCGCGTCAGGCGAACAACCTCCTCAAACAGCTTCTTGGCTTGATCCAGGTTCTTGGAAACTTGCTTGATGTAGCCCTTCGCAAGCAGTGCCTCGATATCTGCCGGATTGCGCGCAAGAACGCTGTCGGCGTACCTCAAGCCTCGCAGGTGGTTCTGCGGTGGATGCAGGTGAGTGAGCGCTGTGGCCATGATGCAGTTGAGCCCCTGCTTGACGTTGGAAAGGCTGAGCGCTGCGTCGCCCTCGAGACGCTTCACGAGGCCCAACGCGGCCATCGCGACCTCTGTTGCCGATTGGTAGTCGCCGTCGGTAAGATACAATGTAGCGGCGACTCGATGCGCGAACAACGAGCTGGAGTCGCTTTCCACGGCAGCCTATGCAGCGACCACACAAAGTATCGCGTGCGATGCGAAAGCACTGGTGAGTTAGATTGGCAACTTACGGTGAATTTCCAAAGAGCTCACAATAGCCAAAGCGAGTGGATCGCCAAAGGCGCCGCTGCCATCCTCGATGTCGCGCTCTTGCTGCCGTTGGCGTTCTTCCTCCAAATAGAGACCATCACCGATAGCTAACAAAAGCGCCCTCGTAGCGAGCACAAGCGCATCCGCTGTCTCTGCACTTGGCGACGTCTGTTGCTGCTCCCCATTCTCCATCTGTATTTCTCCTCGCAGATCCTCTTCAGCCACCGATGGCGGGCGGAATCGAAAGAGCTCGAGAAATTTGCGCAGCTGCACGGAGGGGAAGTCGTACAGGCTCTCGCAGTCCTGCCAGTCAAATCGGATCTTCCAAGCGAGCTCGTCGGCTATGCTGATGGTTACCATGCCGCACGCCATCTCACCAACGCGGTCACGCGCCTCTGCTTTGGCGGCCAGCTCGCGCGCCTGCCGTTCCTCCTTTTGCTTCAGCTCCGCTGTCGTGAGGTACGTGGCGGCGGTGCCGCGCGGGCCCTGCTCCGTCTGTCTGCTAGCAGCGGAGGAAGGGTTGGGCAGCGCGAGGAGCAGTTTGTAGCGGTACCGCAGCAGCTTGGCCTCCGCGCGGCGCCGGTCGTCGTCCGTTGCGGATGGATGCGCGAACACGGCCTCGTATAGGCTTGGCAGCTTCGAGCGCGACCAGATCTCGGCACCGACCTCGTTCTGCAGCGCTTCGCGGCTTTTCTTGGCACGGTCCAGACGCAGACGCCGCTTCTCGACCTCGCGGCTGAGCTCGTCGGATTCAAGTCGTTCGAGGAGGTCGATGATGAAAGAGTAGACTTGCAGAGCTCGGACATGAATGTCCATCTGCACTTCAAACGTTGTCGTAGCCTTAGGATTCGCTTGGTCTGGCGCTGGAAGTTGGGAGAGGAGCTCGTGCAAAGGGGACGAGGTGAGCAGCAGGGACAATGCTTCGACAAGCTGTGTAGGGGCAGCAATTCAAACAAGCTCAGCATACTTTCTTCTCTAGCTGCAAGGGAACGCGCAAGTGAGACATACTTTGCGAGCATCATTTTGCTTCCTTCGAATGTCAATCAATCGTTGCAGCGTTTCGGCGCATTTGACATGATCCTGCCTGCGACAGCGAATCGGCGGTCCATCAGCATGTGTTCAAGCGACACTTCTCACCAAGAGTCTGACTCTTTCCTCACGCTTTCACATAAAGATCCATTAGATGTCGAATCGTGTCAGCCGCCTCGTCGAACTTCTCCTGTTCCGTGTAGAATTTTTCCAGGCCCTACGATACAAGCAAAGATCCGTCAAGTCAGCTTCAACACGAATCAGGCAAGACATGCACAAATGGCATTCCTGCTTCCTCTCTTTGACAACGGACGCACTTGCCACGCAAGCTGTTCGTCCGGCTTTACCTGCGTTGCCTTTCGATACGTGCTCTCGCTTTCTTCTAGTCGCTTGAGATGTAAGAGGGCCAGTCCTCGAAAGACAAGGGCGTTGTAATTTTCCGACTCATACTGTAGCACCTTATCTGCAGACTCGAGCGCTTGGGCGTATGACTTGGACGCCAGGGCGTCGCGCGACGCCTTGAGCCCCGTCTTGACATATGACATGATGATCAGTGCCGCGCCGCCTGCTGACACGTTCAACAAATCAGAACCTGTCTTCTACCGCCCGTACTCAGCATTGCACGTCAAGCATGTGTATGACGGCCTCGCGATGAAGTCCTGGTAATTGGATGGCTGCTCTAGTACACACACAGGTAGGTTGCAAAGGCGCTGCGGATTAGAAGGCTTCAAGCAAATTAACGGAGGAAGAGAGATGTGATGACGATGCGATGGCTGATATCGCGTTGATCGTTGAGTGGCCATTCCGCCGCACCTGCTGAAGCTTCTACAAGTAGCGAAGGCGCTGACACCAGGCCGAACACCACCCCACGCGGGCATATCTTTGCCACTGGCAGGAATGACGCTCACAGTCACCCACCAGCATCCGACGGCATGCGTCAGCAGAATGGATAGCCCCGATCGCCAGCGCATGCAGTCGTCAGCTCTCTCTCCCCCATCCCGTGCATTTCTGCGCCTGCAACCGCTTCCGACCGCATGATTGGGAAGCTTTGCGAGTTTCTGGCCAAGTGATGTGACAGCTGTGGCTGTGTTACAACTTAAAACATGGGTCTTCGTGTTTGTATGCCTGTATTCCGTGCCAAAAGATCAAAATCGCAAGCGCCGATGACTTTTTGCACAATGCCCAGAACGCCGTTACCACTTTTGGTCCATACGAACCATCACTTTGTTACCTTTTGGCTGGGTATCTTTTGCCATGATGAATTTAGCACAACACTAGTTCTGTTCGTGCCAAAAGCTTAAAGTAGTGGACACCGATGACTTTACTTGATGCACTGAATGCCGTGGCCCACTTAGCCGATAAGAATCCACTTTTCCCTTTGGCAGGGTCTCTATTTGTTTGCTCCGTCAGAGAAAGTCAGTACCCCATCCCTTGGTTATTCTAGCGTGCTAAATTTGCTAACAATGGGACTGAGTCTTCGTGTGGAATTCCCATGTCGAAAGGCAAAGTAAGGCAGGTAACTGACAACTGATTTCTACCAGCTTAATATATTATTGCATGGGGATCTTTCGCTTTTGGCAGGGGTGACTCATTGTTCGCTCTTTTGCCCAGGCTGAGGATTTGCTGAGCCGCTGATGTCGTCAGTCAGCCTGTGCGGCTATGCCCTCGCAGCGCGCGCAGGAGGAGAATGGTGAGGGGAGAGTGCGACTGCTGTGGCGCCAGTCAAGAAGTATGTGCGATATGCCGCGAGTCCACCCTACCAGAGAAGAGAAGCTCAACTCTCCTCTGGCCAGGTGCTGCGCCGTCTCCCTCCCATAGGGATGTACTGAGGTTATATAGGTATGTACGAGCATGTAGACGCGCGGCGCGGCACACTCACACTTGACTGGCTGGAAGAACACACAACCCCCCAGCACTCCACTCCATCTCTACCTTCCCAAGGCCCAGCCCTGAGACACCCCAGCTGGTCACCATATTCATCCACAGCTCTCCAGCTCGCCGCAAGCCCTTCCTCGATAGCTTCTCGCACACCAAGTCAACGAAACCCACAAGCGCAGCTTTGTACACGAGCGTGCTTATCGCTCACATCCAGTCAACGTCCACTTACGCTACCCACTTTTTGTCAACCTTCCCAGCCCCGCGCCCAGCCAACATGACCGACACCACTCCAGTCGTTCCCACCGAGGCCCCCGCCCCCACTGGCGCTGCCCCCAACGCCACCCAGGCCAGCGTCCAGGACAGCCCGTCTGCCGCTCCTGCAGGCAAGCCAAAGGCCGAGGACGCTCTTAAGGTGCGTGGTTTCACTCATACAGGGCATTGGTCCGCTCGTCAGCTCTGGTTCGCCGGCCTATGCTCACATGACCCTACTCGCGCCACACGTGTTACGATCTTCTTAACCCCCTCCGCAGGTCTTCGCTGGTAACCTCTCCTTCTCAACCTCCGAAGAGGACCTCTTAATGATCTTCAGAGAGGCGGGCACAATGTACGTGTCAAGACGCGGTGTCTTTCGGCATGAAGTCTGAAGGAGGCTGCGCTGGACCTGGCCGATACCAACTGTGACTGACCCTTCGACCCCGCTCTAATGCATGCTTCACTCTGGTACAGTACATCGGCTCAGGTCATCAAACGCGGCTCGCGCCACCTTGGCTACGGCTTTGTTACTTTCTCCACGCCAGCCGAGGCCACCAAAGCGATCCAACTGCTCAACGACAAGGAGATCGAAGGCAGGAAGATTGCCGTCCAAGCCGTCAAGCCCGAGGTCCAGGGAGGCGGACGCAAGGGAGATGGTGACCAAGGGACCAAGGGCAAAGGCAAGAACCGCAACCGGAAAGGAGTGCGTCGATTTCGTTTCAGCGTGTTTCCGGCGCTTTGCTATGTCTACATGCACTGACACACGCTCTTAATTCCGTCATTACAGGCTGCTTCCCGCCGCCCTCGCATTGATGATGGCGAGGAGGAGGGTGGGGCGACGAATGGCGCAGATGGATCGCAGAGTAAGCCCAGGAAAGGCCGGGGCAAGAAGGGCGGCTCTGGGGAGGACTCGCTCGGCACCCCCGCATCTGGCGCTGCACCGAACGCCAACGGCAGCAGTGGCAGCTCTGCTGCTGCTACCAACGATCTCGGAACGCCCGCTTCTGGTGTGCCGAAGACGACCAAGCCGCGTGCGTCTCGACCGCAGCGCAGCGGCCCGAAAGGCGCGCCAGAGGGTCCACCCTCGCAGACGCTGCTCTTCGTCGCCAACCTGCCGTTCGAAATCCTGAAGGAGGAGCAGCTGTGCGAGATCTTCCAGGGCTGCAAGATCAAGACGGCCACCGTTGCCAGGCAACCGTACGGCCGTCGCAGCAAGGGATACGCGTTTGTCGACTTTGAGAGTCACGAGGAGCAGCAGAAGGCGCTCAAGGAATTCCAGGGTAAGGAAGTGCACGGACGGGAGATCAGCTTGAAGGGTGAGTGTGCATTGCGCACGGGGCCCCATACCATTGTTTTTGCAAAGCCCCTGGATTGTAACTGACCAGAACCTTTCTGCCCGCAGTCGCCAACGAGGACGAGAGGAGGAGGAACAAAGAAAGCGCGGACGCCGCGGTCACTGACGCCAAGCTGGAGGAGGAGAAGGCGGAGGAAGCCCCCGCTGCTGCTGCCTCGGCATGAGGTTCGCGTCCCTGTCTGCTCCACTATGCGGCACCTGAACGACAGGAGAAAGCCTACACTCGCTGATGCCCTCTTGTGGATGGGTTGGAAGGATGGCGCCATGAAGAGCATGGGAGGGAACATGATATAAGGGGATTGCAGCAGGCAGCGTGAACGTCGGGATGAATGCGACACCGACGATAGTGTAGGAGCCACAATATGTAAACAGGCTGCAATCCAGAAAACCAGCTGGAAAAGGCGATGCACCTTCTATTCTTTTCTGAATTCTTTAGGAAGGAAGAGCACAGGACCCAGGTCGCTAGCTAGGGGAGATGCATTCACTCGGCGTTGTCCATTCCAGGGCCGGCGGGTATGAGACAGAGAAGTACCGGAAGTATCTATCAGTCAAGATGCATTTGTGAAAGCTGAATCTATTGCGGATGGAGCCAACAAGAGGAGGCCAAGATAACGAGCATTACACCACATTTGCACCATTGATGGCCGTGGTTAGGAGAGAAGTAAACGAAAGGTTTGTGTGTGGGTGCGTGCATGGAATGCAGGGGAGATGCGAAAGAGTATGTGAGGGAACGGTACGGCGGGTGAAGGACGGAACGAGACATTATCTACCGTTAGCGCAAAAGCGTTGCAGTGGTTCAAATCCAGTCCGAGTGGGATGGGGTGGGAAATTGCGTTCGCCGTTCTATCCACGAGACGGCATCATGAATCAATGGTGAAGGTATGCGCATGCGGGGAGTGTGTTGCATGGGATACGACAGGCCATGCAAGGTGGCAGATTATTTCATCGCCCGGGCCATGGTCGACGCATAGCGTGTTTCGAAGTTCGTTACGAGGCTGCGAGTGACTTGTGGATAATTGAGCACTGTGGAAGCATGTGTATGGGGCCGCTATCTAGAATGTTAATTAGATGGTCACGGTGACTGCCCTAGCCTGTGCGGCAGTTGCAAGCCGTGTATTTTTATAAGCCCCCCGACAATCAGAGGAATCAGAGTGCCTTTCTCCTCGAAACTGCTTATTGAAGGTGAAAGAGATACTAAGCCAGGTTCCAGTTCGGTTCGGCTTGAACCTCAGAGCGGATTTTAGCGAACTCGCCTCGTGAACGGCAGACGACGGCTTGCTTGCTCTGAGTCTTTTAGTTCTTCGGCAACGAAGTGAATTTGAAGCTGCATATAAACAGCGAGGATTACCTTGAACTCGGTTAGAGCGAAGAGTTCGCCGACGCAGCTTTACGGCCCCACGACGAAGCTGTGCGTGTATCCCGGGATCTTGGATTCGGTCATTTGTTCCGGCAGATCATCTCGACCATACTTTACACCCACTGCCTACACCACATTCCCGTCAATCTTGCATCGGTCCGCGTGCATCAGCACGGTACTCGATGGCCTCTCCATCTCTCCTGCCCCGGGCAATGGCAGTCTCTTGCTTTCGAGCGGTGTATTCAACGGTGTTTCCGGTCTGACTTACCCACAAGCATCCATCATCGATGACAATTGTCTGGTGATCGGACCTTTCGACTATGGGAACCTAAGGACCTACAATTCACACACTTGCGTTGATGAGCATGTGAACGAGGATTCAAACGCTTTTACGGAGTCCGCATTCTCGATCCTCAGCAACCGTCTTGATTTCCCTCTCGGCCAACCATTCCAGCCCGAGTTCACGCCCGCAGGGCACCTGCTGGCCGAGCCAGCATGTTTGGGCACTTCTTTCCGGATGTCGGTGCGACTGTGTATTTTCCACCGTGGACGTCCTCCTCCGCAGGTCACTGCGGCCGCATTCGCAAAGTGTGCATCACATACTCTGCGCTCAACAGCCCAACTCTTCCGTCCATGCCATCTTTGCCTCTCGCTCTGTCGCAGCAAGGCTAGCGCATGGAAATGAAAGAGAAGTGCACAGGCACCGAAGTGTCAGCCCTTTTCAGATCGAGGTCCATCGGATAGATCTTGAAACACTTTTCTTCTTCACAAGAGACGGTCTCTATTCCATGTTGTACTTTATATTTCGTCATTTCTGTTTTCTGTTTGATGTTTGATGTTCACTGCGAAGGTGCAAAGCTGTAGTGACGTTGATGGTACTATTAAATTAGAGCAACAGAGCTAAATGCCGGATTCAAAGCTATATAAACGTAATTCGAAAGAGGTGCGAGAAATGGATGAACGGTAAGCCCATAGCCTTCCAGCATCGCCTTCGGCCAGAGCAGTCGAGTCCAGGTATGCCGCAAGTTGCTCAGGCCAGTCGTCCGAGTTGGGAATCAAGGGTCTGCACGGATGAGGGAGAACATGCTGTGCACGCGTGTAGCGCACGCCGTTGCCGATGACGTCCACTTGACGACCTAGTCCTGCTCGCCACTGACGATGAAAGCCGTAGTGGTTGGGTGCTGATGAATTGCAGGTACCCGATGTGGTCATCGTTGGGGTAAACAGACGAGAAAAGCATAATGAACTTCAACGATTGCTATGCTCAAGGCGACACAAACGTCGTGCATCGCGCCGGTGAGCAGTGGATGGATGGAAGTTGCGAGAGTCGCACCTGTCAAGAATCCGATCAGACCGCCAAATGGCTCTTACTTGCACATGGTCCTTGCGGCGAGGCGCCGAGCGTGTGTTCCTGTCATATCCACTCTGTCACTCTGCCTGGCTCGGGGGGGGGGGAGTGCCCACTACCAGCCGTCGCTGATCACAGAGTCGAGGATATTCGTTGCATTGTCCAGCGACGGTTCATCACTGAGAGCGAGCGCTATGCGCATGCGTGCAATCGCCTGGCCCTTCCTGTAACTGTGACGGTTGCGCTTGACCAATTTGTGCTGGTCGGCGGATGCCTTGAATTCCAGAGCGCGTGCCAAACTAGTACCGATAACCATTGCATTCTGTCAGGCTACAAGCGTTATTATCTACGCCGGCATGTGAGTAGGCTTCAGCTTCTTTGCCGCCGGAAGTGATGATCGCGTCGAGGAGGTCGACACCATGTATCGCGTAAGGGGCGTCGAGGTAGACAAAAGCGAAGGGCGTCTTGCTTGGCAGCTGATCAACCGTCGCCTGCAGCTTGCAATGCATACTGCATGCATTTTGGCCTCTCAGGATTAAACTGTTCATGCAGGAAAGCATGTATCCTGAGCTCGCCTCCATAGCTAACGCAATTTTATATACCGAGACCGTGCAGCACCAATTCCTTGAAGTGCCTTGGCCCGCCATGACTGTTGGCGAAGTTTTGTTGAAGCAGATGCGCCACCTTCAATTGCTGTTGCGTTTCAGTGAACTACTAAATATCAGAAGTCTTTCAGGGAGCTGCATGGGTACAATTGCGATAATTATTCAAGCCAGCAGGAGCGGTCGTGCGTGTTGCATGATGGACAGTGGATAATGACGAAGATTAAAGACCAAGAGTATGTACAGAAAAAGGGAAGAGAAAGTTTGATAGCCCATATTCGATATGCCGATGGTCAAGAGTGCGCCGGCCTGTTCAGATATGCTCAGCCTGGCGCTAGTGTCAGTATCAGCATATCGCGTTAACGAGTGCCAGTGTATGTTAGCGTATCAGGCATCAGGCAGTCATCAGATCATGTCTGCTTGCACGGATGTATATCGACATTTCAGACGGCGGTGATGCTGTTTCGCGGGTTCCTATCAGTGTCTCTCCTTGCAGCTCAATGAGGAACGAGGGGAAACCCTCATGCGGGCGTGCGCAGGAAGTGCTCAACACCTCAACTCCCACATCCCAGGCGCACACCCGATGTGGGGTCAACCTAAGAGGCCATTCCACGGAGACGCTTGCCTGGAAAGCAAAGAGCAAGAGAGACAATGATACTGGTATGCTGAGTAGTGCAGCGGGAGCAGTAGGTAGGCACTTTCGTTGGCAAGCAAAGCGGAAGCTTGGGGCAATTGAGCCATTGCCCATCGCTGCTGCATCCGATCGATATTCATCGGATGGTGGCTGCCCATAACAGTGTGCAAACAAGAATGCGCCTTTGCTCGGGTCTGGACACAAATTTTGCATCATGTGACTTAACAATGAGATCCCAAATAGGGTTTTGCGAGCTACATGCAAGCCTGAGACAAGGCTCATCTATCCACTTCGTTCTTCTTGCTCATTCGCTACATCGCCCTCACATCTCCGACTTCCAGGCTCCCGTCCTGCTCCTCCACTCTTCTTTTTCTTCTTTTATTCTTCCCCAGTACCGACACTTGCCAGGCGTGCATCTCGCTCCCACCATCACAGAGAAAACGTCCGAGAGATGCTGCGGATCCCGGTCTTGAGCGTGGCCAAACATTGGCGAACGTGAAGGGACCGTCATTGACAATGTCGCCCCTTTCAGTACGGTAGCATTTATCGCTCAGCGCTTCTATCAGCAAGGAAGACTGAAACACAAGCCTTTGCAAAACGCGCATTTGGTCAAAATTCAGATATCAGATCGACACGGCTGTGGTAAGTTACGGTCATGAATCAACTTGCTCCAATCGTTGTTTGTCACTCGATGCATGTCACCTACATACCGTCCATCGCTTTACGATGGACGTCAGGGACCGAAGCTTGAACGGGATGCCTGGTTTGAGGGGGCTCTTAATCCTTGCGCTGCGTTCAAATTGATTGTCCGCTGGGCGAAGTCATGCATTGCACAAGAGCGACGCAATATTTTGCACCTGTGTGAGCACATTGGTTAATTAGCATCACTTCAAAAGCACGATTTGAAAGTCATCCTTCCACGGACTATGCTCCAAATTTGACCTTGCCCACCTGGAGTCAAGTTCCTGCTGCTGCTGGAGAGGACCAGGCCGGACTGGCGCTCCATCTCTCCACAGGAAATGTGTGAAGTCAGCGGTGAGGTGGTGAGCGCTTGCTTATGGAGTCACTCCTCACCAAGCTCGAACGTTGACCACCTCAATAGCCGGCAGCTGACAAGTTGGACAGGAGGCCCTAGGCTGTCGCCTGTCTGACTCGTGCCGGGTCCACATTGCGCGGCGTGTCTCCTTAGCCCTCCACTGACGCTGTGGCCTGCTCGAACCTGCTCGAGGAGGGTCTCAGGAACTCGTGATATTTGTCTTGAGTGTGCACATCAACGCGTGCCGCGCTGACTTTGACGCATGAAACGTTGGAGAGGCGTGCGTTTGTGGGGCTTGTAGGCTGTCATGGAAGCGAGGATTGTGGAGTAGTGCCTCATCACGTGAGCAGCACTGCAGCATTCTGCAGGTACCAGACCGCCGCTGCCGTTCAACAGAAGTGCAGCTCTAAGAACGCGGGCTGACGTCAGTTGTGCTGCTCAGAACAGGACTGCACGCACGAGAGCGCAGTGCGTGGCGCTTTGGGCTGGGAAGCGGCCCGGGCGTTCGATGACTCAACTCTCCTTGCCTCTGCTGGCACACGATGAGCCGGGCTCCAGCCAGTCTGCGCACGGACCAGAATTCCTCAATGGACTTGCTTCGTCGTATATATGGAGCCGAATCTCATACCACACCACGATTTGCCTTCTCTGTGCCCTCCCATTGTCAATATCAAAATACGCCCACAGCAAGACGCGCACGCACATACGCAGACTCTAATCTGAAGCGCATCAACAGCCATGAAGGACTTCAAGAAGGTTGTCTACAAGGTGCGTTGCAGCTCGCCTTGCCCATCATGTCAGCCGCTCGATGTTCGACTGCAGGTGGTCGTGTGAGGAGGTTTCGCGTCACGTACGGGATGGAGAGGGTCAGGTATCTTGTCGCAAGTCTTTCGTGCGAAACTTGCTGGAGATGAGGGAATGCTGGTAGCCCACCCGGGGGAAGGGGAGAGCAGTCGGCCGGATGTTCTTGATCGCCTGGCCTGGACTTGTCTTGTGTGGAGAACGTGCTGCAACTCTCAGTCCCCAATAGCACACTGGCGCTAAATCCGGACGCACTAAATATTTGGGGTTCTTTTACGTCCTGGACTCTGGAGCCATATCAGAGGTGATGCGAAGCCTTCCTGAGCACGGCGGCAGTGCATGATCACCGGGACGTTGAAACACGTGTGACCTCATGGCCCGAGCTAATTAGTGGGAATGTTCTGCTCTCATCACAGTACGACTCGCAATCACTCGACGAGTTCCAGGTCATCGTCAATGGGGATGAATATGAAAAGTGGATCAAGGGCGACAAGACCATCCCACTCACCGACGTCGTCGACAGCTTTGACGTTTTTATCACCGGGCAAGGAAAGGAGGGCCTAATGGGCCGTGCATCCAAGCAGCAGCTCGAGAATGTCTTTGGCACCAGCAAAAGCACAGACGTCATCCTACAGATCCTCGAGAAGGGGCAGTTGATCGCGAGCTGTGAGTGTTTAGGCCGGTGCCTGCTGAACTCGCTTTGGCATGACGTGGTCCTCTCGAGGCGAGACATGCAGCTGACTACTCTGCGTATACTTTGTTCCCGCATCGCATTTCGTTCATCCGCCAAACAGCTGTTAAAGATCGTGTGTTTTCAGAGCTGTGCTCATCTTGTTCTGAATGTGTCAACTGACTCATTCTCTCCACCTTTCTCTAATGCTATCCTCCCTATCACTTCTGGATGTCGTGTTCTTTTCTACATTCGAATCCTTCCTGTTCGTGCACACCTAGGATTTTCGACCACAAATGACTCGAAGGCGAACCACAACATCCGCTCTGCCGGTAGTATGAGCGGAGGCGGACACGGCGGACGCTGAGGCCAGTCAAGTGAAGGGAGAGAAGAGAGGAGGCAGAGGCTTGCCTCACCGTAGCATACGAGCTATGTCACCACTGAAAGAAAGGGAATTAATAACACTAACAAGCAAGACAATGGGGGAGGCAGATACACAATTCAATCAGATCATATCAAATCAATCACAGTTATGAAATGCAAAATTGCACACACAAGCTGCTGACGCACCTCGTCTGCAGCGAACATTCACTGGTTGCCAACACTTTCGCTGCGCTACAGGGCGAGGGCTTGATTTTTTGAGCTGAGGTCTGAGTGGATGGTGCGTAATCGTTGGCCAAACGCAGCGGGAGCAAGAGCAGCCGCAGCATGACGGAGGGGAGGTCAGCCGCGGGGCCAAACGACTCATGAATCCTGTCTTTTCATGTGCACGTAAGCCTTTGCGCATCATACCGTCACCTTGTCGGTCGTCACAGCGGTGTGCATTCCTGCATCCCTCAGCGTCCAATTAGTGTCCAAATGGATGGGCTAAAGGAAAAAGGCATGTATGTATGTATGTATGTATGTATGCATGTGCTGGTACACCACATACATCAATCGCGCATGCGCGTAAGGAAGCTATGAACTACAAAGGACGAGAGGCCTTGCATGTTTTTCGTCTGGACGCGTTGGATGAATGTTTCGGTAATTGATACAAGCACAACATCATTGACACGTGCCGTGAGTCACGGCCAAAGAAGAAAACGAAAAACGGAGCCACCACCGCCGCCGAAGACGACGATGACGAGGACAGCGAAAACGAGGAAAACGATGATGATGACAACGAAAAGCGTTGTTTCGGCGGACATCCAAAAGAGTTGCATGCCGCAGATGCGGGAAGTGAGAGACGCAACAACCCCAGCGCGGTGCGCTGTCGTAAGCGTCTACTATCCATCCACCTAGCCAAACCTCCCTCCCTCCATCCATCCATTCAAATCAACCTCCTCCCGATCGCTGTGTGCTTCTGCCCCACGCCCAGCCGGTGAGCGTCAGTCGGTCAGTCGGCGGCAGACAGGCAGGCGCAGCTTAGTGCGCATAGTGGCCCATGAGGAAGCGCTCGCCCATGGGGCTGGGACGGCGCTTGATCGATGAGCCCGCGCTGGCGCTGGCGCTGGCCTCGCCGCCCGCTTGCCGCCGGCGTCCGGACTTCTTGCCCATGCTCCCCGCCCGCTCGACGGGCGCAGCGGCGTTGGCACCGGCAAGGTCATTGGCGCTGATCAGCACTCCAGGCGCCGCGACGTGGTTGGTGATGCTGTCATTGATCTTGGCTGCGTTGGCGGCCCTGTGCTCTGCGGCTCGGCTCCCACTGCCACGCGTACCAAAGCCGCCGAACTGCGGCGGTGCGCTCATCGGCGGTGCGGACGCAGTGCCCGAAGTGGGCGCGGCGTCCACGAGCGAGCTATGGGGCGGCGCAGTTGGGCTCTTGAGCGGCGCGACGCCCGTAGAGATGCTGAGTCTGCGCAGGAGCGACGTGACCCCGCTGCTGTTGCCGTTGCTCGTTGCCGAATGGGTCAACGAAGCTGGCGCGAACGCGGAGCCGGTCGACGTGGACGGCGACGAGGCGCTCGAGCTCGACGTGAATGAGCCGCTGTGCAGGCGGCGGTGCTGCTGGCCGGCGGCGACGCTCGAGCTAAATGGGTAGCTCGGCACGCGTCCGAGCGCCAAGCCGCCTGCGAAGCCGATGCTGGAGAGCGACTGTTGCATCTGCACGTGACCTTGCTTACCGTTGGCGGCGGCAGCACCGGCGCCGAGAGCGCCAGGTGTTACCGGCTCGCGATCCACGTCGCCTCCTGAGGTGGAGGACCAGGAGGAAGAGGAGACAGATGAGCTCTTGCGCCTCAGCGCTGCTGCCGCCGCAGCGGCGGTCGAACCGGCAGGGAGCTTGTCGCCTGCGTTGCCGTTCCCCGGACCGCCAGGGCCGGCGCCGACATAAGACGAGCGAGAGAGGTCAAAATACTCTTTCTGTGGGCCTGCTGATGGCCCTGATGCGCTGGTGGCGGCGTTATTGCCGGACATGGACGCGCTGCGGGCGTACTGGTAGATGGGCGACACGAGGCCGGCGCTGGCAGCGGACAAAGAGCGCGAGGAGAACCCCGAGGTGGCAGCGAGGGATGTGCTCGCACCCGGGCTTGGCCGCGAGGGTACGGGAGGGGGCATCGCAGCAGCTGCAGAGGCGGGGGAGTGGTGCGACGAGGTCTCAGGGTGAGGGATGGCTGTTGGCGCCGCCATGTTGGGAGGAGCTGATGGGATCGTGCTGCAGTGAAAGTGCTTGCGTCAGCACATCACCAGCTTTTGTGGTGCTCGACGAAGAGACGCTGCTCGCCGCTGGCGGTGCAGGAATATGAGCGACCACTGACACTCCGGGTACGAGCTACACTGGCGAGGATGTGTCTTGCGTGTCTCGCGGGGCCAGGGTGCGTATGCAGCAAGCCGTAGCTCTCTGCACTGCGTTGCGTTGGGTGTGGGGTGTGGGTGCGAGAGGTTCGTGATGCGCCGCATGCGAATAGCAAGCCCTGATGACTGAGCCGAGTAGAGTCTATAAGAGGGAGAGAGCAGGTGTGTGGCTGGTAGGCGGTCCAGTCGAGTGGCGGGCTGGCTGGCTGTGGCGGAAGCGGCAAGCGCGGCGTGTGATTGAAGGAGTGGTTGATTACGCAGAGGGCGTCAGAGCAGCGCGCACAGCACCAGCCTGAAGATATATGTATGGATGCACGCCCGAGACAGTGCGGGGTGGTGCGTGAGAGGGCAAGTGCCCGGCCGCCTTCTTCCAACATGGCATTGCAACAGTGTAGTTGCACATGCAGATGCACATATATATTCATGCACTAAATCCACAAAGCGGCTAGGAGCGTGGGAAGAGAGTGGCCCGAGCGCTTCGCTGGGTCGTATTCCCCTTTGTTTTATGGCAGCCAGCAGTCAATGTCAGCCTGTCACAACCCGTGTGATCACAGTGCCCCAGCCAGCCAGCACTTGGCTATCTTGTGCCAGTGCGTTGTCCACGTTGGACAGGTGAACGCACAAATGAGGAAAAAAAAGAAAACAGCCGCAGACAGACACAGACAGACACAGACAGACGATTGCCGCGTGAGATGCCGCCCGCTGGACCGCGGGCTCTTTTCTTTTTTATTGTGTCACGGGCCGCTTTGTAAAGTCTGGTCTGCCAGAACCCATTTTACGAATCGTCTCGAGGCATCGCGCTCAACGGGCCGCCCCGATTGACTACATGGCGGCAGCGGCTCTATGCTGCTTCTCCATTCTGCATTTTGTCCTAATCTCAGTCGGGCCTTCGCTATCGCTTATCATCAAACATTCGCGCTCCCCGGCGCTCGCTTTGCCAGTCACGAATACCACATGTCACAGGGACAGGCGCGTAAATGCGATGAGGCAGAAGAGGTGATGCTTTTGCATAAATAGGTGTGGCGCATGCTTGTGACAGTACATTCGGTGCATTCCATTCACTCCGGACATGCTTGTGTGCATGCTCCGCGCCGACTGTGTGTCAGTCCCGCCTTGCCAGCTGTCTGCGCGGTCGTCTCCAAGTCGATGGGGAGCACCAATGTAGGCGTCCGCAGTCTTTCTGGCAGATCACAACAGCCAGACGTCTGACGTTGTCTTCAAGGCATCCAGCTGGCGCCAGAAAGTTCAATCATGTCGACAGCTTGTCGAAAAAGAGCAGTTTCCTGTGGTAGCAAGTATGTTGGAGCGACCGAAGCCTTTCTCTGTCCTCTCGATACGGAGAGGAGCATCAGCACCAACGTCGTGGACAGCCCGACGGCAGGCCAAGCGTCGACTGACGACCTGCGTGCTTCACAGCAAGCACCATACGTGATTGGTGCGCGCATCCGACCCTGTAGAAGCCGTATCCACTGCGCCGTCAACCGCTCGTGATGCCAGCTCTCCACGGTCGCGAGTACAGATGGGGATTGCCCAAGCAACAAGATGTATCTACGAAAGCATGAAAACTAGTAAAAACGGTGTCAGTCGAAAGCGATGTTGAAAGAGCGGGCGGAAGGAAACGAACTCGCTCGGTGCAGATCTCGGCGCAATGAAAGCGTATGTAATCATGCCGCACCGACTGCTTCCGGATAGAGTCGGCCACTTGCCCAGGAACGACCAAATGATGATCCGATTTCCTATGTGTATGTATCTCTCACTCTCGGACGCTGGAAGGCACGGCAGCAAAGGGTTCGGTGAGACAGGGAAGGATCATCAGAAAAAGAGAACGCAAAACGGATAAAAACTCTTGCGCAATGAGAGTCGGTTAGCGCTTACTTCGCACGCCATCTTCCCGCTGCGAATATGTTCTGCGGGCTGATGGCGCAAGAACCCGAATGCAAGCAAAATGGAATCGGACATAGTTTCGAGAAGAGGGCGAAATGAACGTGCGAGACGATCTCCCATACATGTGCATGCATAGAGATTCTGACTCTTCCTATATATGTACAATGGGATCGAAGTTTCTCGCCGGTTCCCCTCTCAACGAATGACCTCGCTGTCCCTCCGAGAACGTGTGTCCTTCCATCTCGCGAACACCCAGCCGGAGCGAGAAGAGAGAAGGCAACGTGCGACTCCGCCTGATTGACGCTGTAGACGGCTTCCTCGGTGGGACCCAGAAAAAATGGGCGCCCTGCAACGATTCGTCGACTCCTTTCGGATGGAGCCGGCGCCGGCCCCACTGAGCAAGCCCATCAAGGCAACTGCAGCCGCAGTACCCACGGTGCGCAGCAGCGCTGACTTGAGCCGCGACGCGTCTGTGGGTGAGCAAGAGCTCGAGAAAAAGCCCGACCTCGAGGGCCAGGCGGAGAGCGGCAAGGATGGCGAAGGGGGCATCGGCATGCCCACCACCACCGACGAGAGCGGCCTCAAGCGTAACCTCACCCAGAGGCACATGCAGATGATCGCATTCGGCGGCGCCATTGGCACGGGTCTCTTCGTTGGCTCTGGAGGCGTCTACACGACCGGCGGCCCTGGCTTTCTGGTTCTTGGTTAGTGGAAAACCACTGCCGTCGTCGATACTCCGAGAGTAAACAGGTGCTCATCTACCCGGCTGCTTTTCCTCCCAACCGACAGATTACATCCTCGTCGGCATCATGTTGTTCTGCGTTGTCATGTCGCTCGGCGAGCTCGCATCCGTACTTCCCGTCTCTGGTTCCTTTGCAACGTACAGCACGCGCTTCCTGTCTCCCTCCTGGGGCTTTGCCATGGGTTGGAACTACTGGATGCAATGGTATATTACGCTCCCGCTTGAGCTCGTCGCCGCGTCGATCGTCATCCGCTTCTGGGACCCAGAGCAGAAGATCACGCCGGGCGTCTGGATCATCATCTTCATGATCGCCATCGTGATCATCAACCTCTTCGGCGTGCGCGGGTACGGCGAGTTCGAATTTGGCGCCGCTCTCATCAAGATCATGGCTGTCATTGGATTCATCATTGCTGGGATAGTCATTTCGTGTGGAGGTGGCCCATCGCACGAGTACATCGGCGCCAAGTTCTGGCACACCGAACAAGGCGCCTTCTTCAACGGATTCCAAGGCTTTTGCAGCGGTGCGTACCGCTCGTCTCGTGCATTCTTACACCCTTTATTGCGACATGCTGACTCCTCTTCCCCATCCGCCCGCAGTATTCGTCTCCGCAAGCTTTGCCTTCAGCGGCACGGAGCTGATCGGCCTTGCAGCAGCTGAGACCGCCAACCCACGCAAGGAAGTGCCCAAAGCAGCGAAGCAGATCTTCGCGCGCATCCTCATTTTCTACTGCGTCTCCTTGTTCATCGTCACGCTCACCGTCGACCCGACAGATGCGCGCCTGACCGGTGGCAGCTCGAATTACGATGCGCGTCAATCGCCGTTCGTCATCGCCATCGACAGAGCGCAGATCAAGGCGCTGCCGTCCGTCATCAATGCTGTCATCCTCGTCTCGGTCCTGTCAGTGGGCAACTCGGTAAGTGCCGTGCGGAAGACGCTACATGCACCATTAGTGCGCCATGCTGACACCATATGCATATACACAATCGCTTTGCTGTAATAGTCCGTGTACGCAGGATCGCGCACGCTCCTCGCGCTCGCACAAGCCGGCCAAGCTCCGCGCATCTTCAGCTACATTGACCGACACGGACGGCCTCTCCCCGCGGTGCTGCTCTCGCTCGCTATCGGGTTCCTCGCCTTCCTCATATACAGCACCTCGCAGACTGACGTCTTCAACTGGCTCCTCGGCCTCTCGGGCCTCTCAGTGATCTTCAGCTGGGCCTCCATCTCTTTCTGCCACGTCCGCTTCCGCGCCGCGTGGAAGCGCGCCGGTCACACGCTCGAGGAGCTGCCGTGGAAGTCGCCAATCGGCATCTTTGGCGCTTGGTACGGCGGTCTGTTCTGCAGTGAGTCGTCCGCGTGGCATATACAGTGAACAAATGCAGCCGTTCCCGCGAGCTAAAACAAATTCAAAACATGCACTGTGTTCCCTTTCATCTACCAGTCCTCGTCGTGATACTCCAAATGATCATCGCAGTGTGGCCGATCGGAAGCGAAGAAATGACGACGAGCGCCCGCGTGGTGGTCTTTTTCCAGAGCTGTCTCGCACTCCCCGTAGTCATCCTCTTCTACTGCATCGGAGAGGCGCTCTGGCACGACGGTTGGATTCAGGTCGAGGACATCGACATCAGCACTGGCCGGCGCGAACCGGTTCCCGTTGACATTCTCCGGCGCGAGAGGGAAGAGGCCAAGGCCACTCCGATCTACAAGCAGGTCTGGAGCCTCTTCTTCTGAAGGCCCATTGTCAGGAACTATCACATTTGCTCCATTCATAGAATCTCACGGTCACCTAGTGCACATAGACCATGCACTCGGTATCGCAGACCCGCTCCACCTCATGTGTATTCAGTATACCTCGCAACCGCATCGCATTTGTTCATGGGCTACGTCATCCCCGTAGATCGAGCTGCTTCAGCAACTCTTCCGCCTCATCCGTCACTTCTGTACCGGCGATGACCACCTTCTGCAGATAGTCGTACGCCAGTGCAAAGTTCCCTTCTGCCCCACGGGTCTCATCGTAGAGCCCGCCTCCGGCACGCTCTCCAGCCATGACGGTGGACGAAGATCCGGGTTGCGGCGCGTATCGCACGTCCAGCATCTCGCCATCGGTGAGGCTGCTATCGAATCGATCTGGCGCGGCTGTACTGGCAGACTTGCGGCGATCCAGCGAAGGTGTTTGCATGCTGTGGCCCGGCTTGGGAAGTAAGCCCATCTCCCACTTGGCCGCGATGATATAGCTGCGCGCGAAGCGTCCAAACCCGCCGATAGCGACCTCTTCGTCGATTTGACCGGAATTGCAGTCATCATCGGTTGCTGCTGCTGCTGCGGAGGCAGCGGCATTCGCGGAAAGGGCACTCTGATTCTCCGGCTCGGCGTTGTCGGTGAGATCCATGGAATCACCCGCGCCGGGGTCAGCGGGAGCTTTGCCTTTGCGAGCGCTGCTGCCAGGCTTGGGTGCATGCATTGGGGCGCCGCCCTGCTTCCTGGAAAAGAGGTGCCGGTCGACGATGCCGACGAGGCGCCGGTGCCAGGGTGCGGCTTCACTATGCCGGTCGTGGCGCTCGAACAACCCAATGATGCGCTCGATGGACGAGATCGTCTCGTTTACGTCAGCATTGCATGACAACTGCCGTTTCCAGGCTGCAGCCGCTTCGTCCGGCCTGAACGAATGGGAACGCCCACGCAACGTCAGCAAGAAAGGGTAAATATGCCAAGGGCTTGCCAGCTACGAACCGGTGCATCTTGTCATAGCAGCTTCCAATGGCCAACCAGATCCGCGGATCATACGGCTTAACCGCCGCTGCTTTTCGATAGTAGTAGACGGCGTAATTCCACGCTTCACTGAGCTCGTAGACTTGGCCGAGGCCGTGCCAGCTTCGGTAATCGTGCGGGTCGATCTCCAGCGCTCGGCGATACATTTCTGCTGCGGCATGACTGTTCTTCAATTCAACGTATTCGTGCCCCAGGAGCACCCAAGCGACTAGAAAACCCATGTCGAGGCGGATGGCACGCTTAAATGACTCGATCGCGCGTAGCCGCTCCCCGCGCGAGTTGTGATAGTTGCCAATCAAGCAGCAGACAGCCGGGTCGTCCATCGCAATATCGGCGAAGCGATGAGCCAGCTCAGCCAAACGCCCATGTTCCCGAAGTAGATGCAAAGAGTTGGAATATTCGACAAGGCCTTGCGTCCTGTAGGGCTCCATCTCGAGAGCCTGAGAAAAGAGCTCGGCAGATTGCACATGACGCATGAGCGCGTGTGCGGTGAGGGCTTGCGCGGTGATGAGGTAGCCAGATCTCGGAAAGAGCCTGAGCAGGCAATCTGCTCGGAGCAGATTGTCATCATCATCTCTTTGGGACTTGCGGACGTGGTGCTCCACAAAGAAAGTTGTCATGAACGAATCCGGGAAAAGATCCGCAATATCGACCAGCTGCAAGGGGAAGAATCTCATTAATTTACGCAGAGCTTGGCACGAGGGTCGACATGCCTCACCTCCAACCCATCTGGCCCCAGACACCCACTCAGCTCGGTCCATGCACTCCAATTGTAAGGAAAGGCAATAATGCTTCGGACAAAACAGTCTGTAGCTTCCAGTCGTTTGTGCAGCTTCTTAAAAATCACACCCTTTCTGCACCCCATCTTACATCAGCATGGGTGCACATTGCTACACTCTGATTTGCACACTCACAAGTAGAGCAGAAATGGGTCTTGCGGGTTAACGAGGTGCTTCAAAAGTTGTATCAGATTCGGGCTTGCAGCGGGTAGCTTACCCTGTATTTCTGTTAGAGTTCCCCGCGGCGATCAGGCACCTGCAAGGTAGCATAGGATCAGCGTGTTACTCACTGGGAAAAATTGCGCCGCTGTCGCTCAGCTCCCGTTCAGAGGCCTGTGAGAGGGTAACGTCAGGGTGAGCTTCGTGGGGCTCCCTCGCACAAAAGACCCACCAGGAACCGTGCGTACAGCTTGAGGAAAAGCGATTTGTCGTCATCCAGCTGGTGCCTATCAAGTGTCCATGCGCATCTCTCCAGCTGATGGCTGTCGAACTGTGACTTGGCCAGTCGGTAGAACACCTCTTTCTGCTCGCTCGGTCCTGCTCCGAGCGCGCCTCCCACCCAGCCGCCTATTCGCATCGAACTTGCTTCAGATGCGTGACCACTGCTGCTGCCTTTGAACCTGACGTGAATTGAGTCCTCCAGGTAAGCACTTGAATGCTCCTCCAATGCCGAGTCTTCTCTGGAACGATCAGGATTGCTTAAAAAGCTGTGACGAGGATTGGCGAGAGGTGAAGGTGCAAACGTCGAGAACTGCCCCGACATGGTGGATACATTGGGTGTCGCGACGGTCAGACCCAGGCCCATTCCCACAGCTGGTGTCGAAGCTTGTGGAACAGCATTCTTTGACAAAGCAGAGCGACGTGCCGGGGTCGAGCTGATTGGCCCCGGCTGCGCTAGCCGTGGCTCAGGTGCTGGAACCGGAGGTGTTAAGCATGCCAGCTGTTCGAGAGCCCTGCAGCGCTCACAGAGAAGAGACATCGCATTGGGCGATTATACTTCACAATGAAATGAGCTTGTCAGAGTACTCACCATTGTCCCGCATTCATAAGACCACGGTCGAGCAGTGCGCTGGCTGCCGTAGATAGCGCCTCGTATGCTTGCGATGCATCGGCCCAGTCATCGCGGAGCGCTAGCACTTCTTCTTGCGCGGCGCCCATCATGATTCACGCAGGCGGCAACAGCGGCAGATAGATGACGTGCTTGGTACTTTGCATTCTTCGATGGCTAACAGCCTTGAATGACTCTCAGCCAATCAGTTGAAGTCTTGAGTGGTCATGGCAGAGGGGAGTGGTGATGATCCGACGAACGGAGGGAAGGTGTTGTTCTCTGTCGGTGATCAAGCTCATAGGGTTAGTCAGTCTCGTCGGCCACTTTCCCCTTCAAGAGACGCGTCGCGTCGCGGCTCTATTGGCTCGCGTTCAATACTCCCATCAAGGCAAGATTCGAAAGAACGACGCTTGTGATACATACATGAAGTTATAGCACCATCTCTTGGAAATTGAACCTGTATGAACGGCAGAACAAAGCGACTTGGAAAGTGATACAGGCGGAAGAATGGTCGGACAGGCTAGTAGCAGCAGCGCTGGTGAGGCTGCGGAGCCCGCCGGACTGTACAAACCCGTGTCCAAGCTCAAGTCAGGCTTCAAGGCGCCCTCAGTGATCAATCGCTCCAACTACCTCGCTTCAGGCGGACCAAGCGCCGCTGCCACTCCGAGCCTTGTTGTCAGGCTCAAGCGCCGCAAGCTTGATTCGGGAAGCACTCCTACGATACCAGAGGACGAAAATTGTGTTGCGCTTCCGCAGGCAACAGGCACTCCATCAAGGCAGCCATCGTACCCTTCCGGCTCTGCGGTCAAGCATACAGAGAGCAACGGGTTCGATGTATACTCTTGTACCTGGCGCAAGCCTCAATTCAGAAAGCACAAGACGTGGGATGGGGACGGATACTTGCTAGTATTCAAAGAGTCACAAAGAGCATTACTAAAATGCGCGGACAGCAAAGTAGAGTGAGTACTGCATGCGCATCTTGGAATCGCTAACCGACGTTGAATTCCTGGCTGCCTATGCAATCAAAAGGCTCGCGTCTTCCGACAGGTTCCATCGGGGACCGCTTGTGAATGACGAGGAATTCTCTATGGGAGGCAAGGAAGTGAGTGAATGTACCCGCTCCGTCACAAGGTTCTTTCGCTGAATTGTTGCGTCTTCCCTGGCAGCTTCAAATCTGCGAGCGCGTGACTTATGCCGAATTTAAAGCTGCGATGGGGAAATCTACTAAAGATATTGCAGAAGGTGCTTTAGATTTGCACGCTCCTTCCACACAGTCGACAGCCAGCTATCTCCGAGAGACGATGACGAATTTCATGGCGCCGGCCAAAGTGCCCACTTTTTATTCCAAAGGTGATTTCATGTCTTTTAATTCATGCCATTCTACGGCGCAAGACTGACGGAGTTCTACATGCTTCTCTTGAAGATCCACCAAAGAGAGCGCACGATGACTTGGACGGTGAACCTTCGCATGGGAAGCAGTTGCGCAGCGCCTCGCCTGTTAAATTGGCGGCCGGGATAGCCAACCCTGGTCAAGGCAAGGTTCCACATGCTCGATTCTCAACTGAAAATCAAGATGCCATCATTATGCGGCGGCCAGACGAGGCGCACCAAAAGAGGTTCAACGCTAAGTGGGTTGTCGGTGATGAATAGCTGCGAGGCATCACTGCTAATGCTATGCTCTCTGCAGGGGGTTGCCCATTGTCGACGTCGTTATTGACCCGCACGTCGGTAAGCATCTTCGCCCACATCAAGTCAAGGGCGTCAAGTTCCTGTACGAGTGTGTGATGGGAATGAGGGAAGATGGAAACGATAGCCAAGGGGCCATCCTGGCGGACGAGATGGGCTTGGGCAAAACCCTGCAGACCATCACTCTCATTCACACGTTACTCAAGCAAAGCTGCTACTACCAGCCGAAATCCTGGACCATCCAAAAAGCACTCATAGTCTGTCCTCTATCGCTAGTCAAGAATTGGAGACGCGAATTCCGGAAGTGGCTCGGCAACTCTGCCATCAATGTGCTGTGCATCGACGGCGACAAGAGGGTGTCCATCAAGAGCTTCCTTTATTCAAAGTCTTATCACGTCATGATCATCGGCTACGAGAAGCTGCGAAGCTGCATGGACCAACTCAAGGATGCACAGCCGCCAATCGACCTGATCGTGTGCGATGAGGGGCACCGTCTCAAGTCTAAGGACGCGAAGACGACCAAGATGTTCCAGGCGCTTTCGACGCCACGGCGCATCATCCTGTCCGGCACACCGATCCAGAACGATCTGTCTGAGTTCTTCAACATGGTCGACTTTGTAGCGCCAGGTCTCCTCGGCACGTATGCCACGTTCAAGCGCGTCTTTGAAGAGCCGATCATGAAGAGCCGCGTGCAGAACTGCGGGTCCAAGGCGATGCAAGAGGGGCGAGATCGTAGCGAGATGCTCAAAAAGGCTACGGACGACATTATTCTGCGCCGGACCGCAGACCTGCTCTCTGAGTATCTTAAGCCCAAGACGGAGATGGTAGTCTTTTGCGCTCCTTCGCCGGTGCAGCTGCACATCTACGGGCAGATCGTCGGATCCCAAGAAGTCAAGGCTAGCGTGGGCGCCGGTACCTTTGGTAATCCTTTGCCTCTCATTTTGACACTTCGTAAACTCTGCAATGCACCTCAACTGCTCATCAAGGCTGCAGGCTTGGCGCGCGGCACGGACGAGGAAGTCAGCCCGTTCATCCCAGAGGATGCCCTTGAGGCGTTGAAACAGCCCGGTATTCGCGACGCCAATGTCAGCGGAAAGCTCACAACGTTAGACCGCCTGCTCAAAGCGATCCACAAGACGACCGACGACAAGGTTGTAGTCGTTTCGAACTTCACCAGTACACTGGATATCATCGAATTTCTTTGCGAGCGGCGAGGTTGGCCCTTGCTCAGGCTCGACGGAAAGACCAAGACAGAGACGAGGCAGGAACTCGTCAATGAATTCAACCGCAGTCCTGCGTCCTCCTCGTTCGTCTTTTTGCTCAGCGCCAAGTCTGGCGGCGTCGGACTCAATCTGATTGGAGCGAACCGGCTTGTGCTGTTTGACAGTGACTGGAATCCCTCCACGGACAAGCAAGCTATGGCGCGGATTCATCGCGATGGGCAAAAGAAGCCTTGCTTCATCTATCGCATGCTGTTGGCCGGTACGATGGATGAGAAGATCTATCAGAGACAGTTGTCCAAAATCGGGCTCAGTGACTCGCTCATGGATGCTGGAACGGGCTCCAGCAGTAAAGCATCCGACACCTTCTCCCCCGAAGAGCTGCGCGACATTTTCACACTGCACAAAGACACACCGTCGCTCACGCATGATCTATTGCAGTGCGAGTGCAGCGGCAACGGGGTCATCAATGTCCCGGACGTCGTGGATGAGGACATGGATGGGGAGGATGAGGAGGAAAATGCACAGCAAGGGTTTGTGATGGTTTCGCAGTATGAAACCAATGAACTTATCAAGGTGAGTGCAACCAGGCATGAAATCCTTGATACATGTCTGATAAGGACGTCGGCTAACCCGCAGGCGAGCAAGGACAAGCGTGCAAGGCTCTCGGCACTCTTCAGCTGGGGTCATTTTGACTGCAAAGCAGCAGATGGACTTCGAGATTCGATGATACAACGGTTGATCGAGCGTCAGAACCGAAAAGCCGGAGCAGATGGTGGCTCGCAACCCAATTTGCCAGCCAACCCAGCTGCAGCAGCACGTCCGTGCATGTCTCTTCTCGAGCAGCTAGATGCAGGAGAGGTATTGAACGCGACTGATCAGGCTGCCTGGCGAGACCACAAGCCGTTTGACGTGACGCAGATGGCGTCCGGAAGCATCTTGCATGTTTTCGAGAAGACGAGCAGCAGCATGACTGGCAAAACAGACGCAGACAAGGAACTTTGAGTAGAACCCCATCCGGGGAAATTAGCATGGTTGCAAGCATAGACACATTTCGTAGTCATTCAACAAGTCATAAGCTCATAATAGAAAGCGCAAAGAATCGATCATAATGCAGCATGCACTTGAGGAGCTCTCTAATTACAACTTCAGCGTGCTTCCGCTGGCAGCTGCGCTGGGTGCGCCTTGATCTTTCACTTGGCCACGGATTGCCTGCTGTGCTGTGCGCTTGCCATCTTTGCCCACGACGCTGACGCCCTGTAGAGAAAAATCAATCAATCGGTGGACCAAATTCATGCACACGTCCTGGAGCGCACTGACCTTGTTGCCGATCAACTTCTTGAGCGCATCGGCCTTCTCCTGCCTGTCGCCGCCCTTGCCCTTGGGCAGCTTAGGCCGCATACCTGCGTTCTGGCGTGCCGCTTCAATCTCCTGTCTGGTACGCTCGATGCGCTCGTTGCGCTTCTTCTTCTGCTTGCGAATGCGGCTGTGCGCTTTTTGCTTTTCCGCTGGCGTCATCTCCTCTTTGGCACCTGCGAAGGACGCGCTGATACGCCCGCCAGCTTGTGGATCGTACACCTCCTCAGGAGCGAGCATGGACGCGCCGTTGGCCGAGGAAGGTATACCAGATTCCATTGACATGGCGGCAACATTCGACAGATTCTGGATCGTAGCTTTGGGCTGTTTGATAGGGAGGACAAACAAGGATCAGCTGCACGCTGTGGTTACGAACAGGAATGAGGTCGCTCACCGCTTTCGGCGTAAAGTGTGCATTGCTGAGCGCATCGAGCTTGTTGAACACGTCGTTGAACAGGCCTTCGATCTCTCGATGCTCCTTTTCGAGCTTGGCGTCTGACTCGGACTGTCGCTTTGGTGCACCCTCCGCTTGGCCTTTTGCTTCGTTGTATTCATCTTCGTAAAGGTCTGCCAAGCTCTTTGAGTTCTTTGAATCGGACAACTCCAGCAGCTTGGAAGGCAAGAAAGGTGTCGCAGAGAGCTGAACACGCTTCTGCACGTCGTCAAAGTTGTTCTCGAGGATGCGGCGTTTAATGAGATCCTCCAGCGAAGACGTCATCTCTTCGGTGACTTGCGGCTTGACCTTGGCCGTATGCTCAAACTCAAGATCCTCCTGGAGGAGGCTGTCGACAGGACGCGCGCGCGAGCCGGCCTCGCCGATCAATGTCCAATCTTTCTTGTCGACGTTCTCACGCTCGAGCTCTGCAATCTCGGCGGCGAGAGCTGCCTGTCGCCGCTCATAGGTCGACATTGATGTGGCCTCCGCGTCTTGCTTGTTTTCGTCGTCGTCTGCGAAGAGGTCGTGGGCGACACGTCGCGCAGTGAAAGATTCTGGATCCTCGGTTGATGCTTGTGACTCCACCTCCTCTTCGTCTTCGATGTCCGCGAGACTGCTCATTTCCTCATCTTCGTCTTCTGATCTGTCTCCTTGGCTCTCCTCGGAGCCCTCTTCCTCCTCACCAGACTCTTGCTCACTCAATCCCTCAAAGGAATCGCTACTGTCCTCTTCCTCTTCTTCTTCTCGCTCCTCGTCTTCTTGACCAAGGCGCTTCTTGAGAAGGTCAAAGACGTTCCCATCGTCGGGGTCGCGTGCGCTGCGAGCCTTTTTGATATGCCGAATCTGAACTTGGTCGTGGAAGCGGATCCTGCGCGAGGAAGACGAGGGCAGCGCGTCGCCTTCGCGCGTTGAACCGCCTGCTGTCGATAGCGGTTCTCTGGCTTTTGCCTTTCCTTTCCTTTTGTCGGCCATGGCGGCGGACGAGGCAGCACATGCGCTGCCCTTGGGAGGCGCAAAGAACTGGTCATAGGTAATATCAGCAGCACCATCGCTCGCATCTTCGTCTGCAAGCTCGTCGTCAGCCAATGCGCCGATGTCTGTAGCGGTGCGTCAAAGAGGACGAGAGTATTAGGTCAGCATTAGCCTGAACACGGCGCTGGGCACACTCCGCTTCGCGCACCTTGGAAAAAATCAAAGTCATTGTCGACTTCGCCGTCTCTGGCCTTTGGCCGTCCACTTGCGCTTGCGCCGCTGCCCTGCTGGCTGGAGGCCCCAGTGCCGAATTCGTTCGAGAGCGTCTGTCGGTTAAAGTCGTCGATGGAGAAAAAGTCGTCGTCGAGGACGGGATGACGCTTCTTTCCTGCACCTGCTGCTTGGCCGCCGTCGTGCGAGGGCGATGATGCGTCCTCGTCGAGACGGTCCAAGAGAGATGCCTGTGGGGTGGGTCGGCTGGTGTCGCCTGCATCCCCTCCTTGCTCCTGAATGTCCTCCTCCTCGCCATCGTCTTCGACTTCGTCATCATCATCGTATTCCAGCCCTAGCAGCGATGACGCAAGAAGGTTCTTCTTTTTCAACTGCTCCTCTTCGGTCTTGAGTGGCTCAATGATGATCCGCGACGCTTCCTCCTCGTCGCTCAGGTCCGAAGCGCCAGGGAAGCCCTCCTCGTCGGGCTCGTCGTCGCTGTATTCCTCATCTTCAGAAACTGAGAAGGCATCTGCGTCGTCATCCTCCTCATCTTCGTCATCGTCATCTTGTCCTTCCATCATTTCATTTACGGACACACCACCGCCTTGACGACTGCGCTGTGCGGCGCGCAGCTTCCGGAATTCCTTGGGCTTGAAGCCAATCGCCCTTAGCTCGGCATCCGTGAGGCCATCGAGCTGCGCAAGCTCTTCCTCCGTCGGCTCGTCGTCGTCCTCGTTGCTTCCGTCCCCCATATCCTCATCTTGGCCGTCACGGGCCGCGCGCAGACGATCACTCTCGCCTGCCCCATCGCCATCGTCATCCTCGTTCTCATCATCGTCGAAATTAGCCTCGCTGATGATGACGTCGCAGACTTTGGCGATCTTGGCATGGCGTAGCTCGAGCTGCTCCCAAATCTGCAGCGCCTCCAAGCGATCGCGCTGCTCGCGTTGCGCTGCATCTCCGGCAGCCGGGGCGGAAGGTGCAGGTGGAAGGTAGAGCTCCGTCAGCGGAGTGGCTTCGTAGAATGAGTATGGGTCCGCGCCGTTGACAACTGATCCAGCGCCGTCAGAGGCATCGCGCTTGCGCTTCTTTCCATTGGTGTGGCTGTCGGCAGAGGCTCGTGTGACACGCTTGCTTATCCGGTCAAAGTCGGGTTTCGTGGCTTGTAGAAAGGCGCGGATCGGCTCGAGCGATGCAGCCTCCGATCCGGTGCCTGGTATCAGAAGACAAACGTCAACAAGCAAGAAGGGACTTGAAAGGAGGGGAGAGCAGACGCACCTTGGTCAAAGAACCATTTGACTGCGGCCTTCGCACTGCTCTTCAGCGGTTCTTGCGTTTGCATGCGCTCGTTCTCAGCGGCGCTGGGAGAGGGACCACCAATTCGGGAGAGGAGGCCAGCATAGTCTTCTGGGTGCAGTGCCGTTCTGCGAGTGAACTCCTGGACGGACGCGGGGAGCAATGATGCCGAAGAAATTTGTTGCGTGCCGCAAGAGGGCATAATACCGTCGATGCTGCAATTTGGATCCGGCGCGCCAATCACAGACGCGCTTGTGCCAGCCTCAAGCACCGTCATGTCTGCTCTCTTCGCCGTCAGTCGGGCTGTTGTGCTATCTCCTGTGCCACTGTCGTCGAGGTGTGAACGCAAGTACACGCTTGTATCGGATGGCTGATGTTCTTTCTGGCTGCACCTGCAGGGCAAAAAATTGGGCGAACCGCAGCGGAACCACAGACTCTGTACGCATTCTCGGCCGAAAAGAATCGATGAGAAAGAACCGAAAAAGGAGGGGAAAAGAAAGAATGCTTCTCTCCTTATATGTAGCCTGTCCGGGAGGTGCCAGTAGAATCGATCGTAATCTAAGTGCATGTCTACATACAAGAGGAGGCATTCGATGGATAGGTCGCTCAGGGCAGGCGACCGTGTGCCGGAGGGGAGCTCGCTCACCGGGGCGACAACGCGGGCTCGGCACAGGCAGTCCACCTGTCCATTCATCAGCGAGGCCGCCCAAGCAAAGCAAGAGCTTGAGAGCAGCCCTCACCAGCGCGTACGAGTACATCTATCCGGTCCACCCTTTAAGCGCGTCAGATCCGAGCGAATGTCAGAGAGGGTAGCAGAGTAGATGCTGGTCAGCGTGCTTTTTGGAGAGCATGTAGCAGGCTTGCAGACAAGCAGGGCCCGGGGGGCGACTACCGCAGCAATATGTTTCTCCTGCTGCCCGACTGCCGATGGGTGACGTCCTGGAAATTGGCATGTAAGGGGGTTGCTGCTGGTGAGTATAGATGGCGCTTGCTGGCGATGCCGTCTCCCCTCCCACGGACTGACTCTACTTGTGCATAACGAGAGACGCGAGCGTGTCATCACTGGCTTGCGTGGTGAACGGGTGTGCACCGGAAGAGAGCCTGACAGATTCAGGTTGTACTAGTGATTTTTTTTAAAAAGAAAAAAAGAAAAAAGGCTATCGTGCGAGAGAGAGGTGAACGACGTGACAAACGGGAAGGGGGGCGGTGCGTTTGGACTCTCGCTCGTCTGTCAGTCACACCGCGGCGGCACGCCCGTGTAAAAATTCTTTATTTTCGCTGCCTGTGTACCATATCTGGACTGCATGCACGCACCATACGAGACGCGATGAAATATGATGTTATACTGTGCATATGTGCGTATGTATGTATGTGTGTCAGCGGCTCCCCTTGTGCAAGTATCAGAGGGAGTTCGGACTTCGATGGATTTGAATTCCCTCGATTCGTCCTTTCGCAGAGTTCTGTACAAAGACTAGGTGGTACTGGGAAGACACGTCTCCCCACCACGGGGCAGAGAGGCAGGCGAACAGTCCAACTCGCTTCCTCACCCGGGCCCTGGCCTGAGCTGGGTTGTGGCTTGCGAGGACTGGACGACTTGCACAACCTGCCACATCACAGTACAAACGAGAAAAAGGGCGCGGAGGTGTGTCACACGAGCTGGAAAATGGGACTCCCCTGGTGTCCTTCTGCTTGCGATCGATTGGTATGTCCGTTTCCCATCTATCATTCATACATGCACGCGTACCTCTTCTTACATCAACATCGACAGAAATTAGCGCGAACATGCGTGCGAGGGGAGACGGCGGCACCTCGTTCTATGCAGAATACAGAAGTCTGAACATATCATCCCCTCCTTACACCTCATTCTCCTCCCCCTTATCCCTGCCCGAGCCCGAGCGCGCGCAGACACTCCCGTCAGTGCGACCTCCACCGCCCACCCTGGAGCCGTCATCATAGCACACGATGGGCAGCTGGAGCAACGGTGCCGCCGCCGCGGGCGGCGCAGCGGCAGCGGGTCCAACTAGGCCGACAACCTCCAGCAAGTTCTCCGGCCTGCTCCGCTCCGCCGGCCGCAAGAGCAGCGAGAACCTGCGGAGAAAGCTGGGTAAGAATGTGAGTGCAGCCGAGTGTATCAGAGCAAGTGACATCCTGGCTCCCTCCCGCTGGCATCCACTTGATTCCCCTCCCCCTGGGCGCCCTGTTTCGGGCTTCCCGCGTTGAGTCTTTAAGCTAACATACACATACCCCTTTTTCGCCGCGCTTGTATACAGCCCTCGCAGCCCTCTCTGCATAGCGATCATGCACAGCAGCACTACTTGTACCACGACGGCAGCGGCGACGCAGCGGGAGCCCCGCCGCCCGTACCCGGCGTGCCCGCCCACCTTTCCCAATGGCACCACTCGCAGTCCCAGCTTAGCCTCCACTCAGCCCACGGCAGCGACCCCTCCAACAGGCTGAGCTTGAGCGGCAGCGTTCGCGTCGCGGGAGGCGGCGGTGTCAACCGCAACAAGGCCCTGCCGCCTGTCGCGCCGTCGTCGCGTGCCTCGCGCCGCTCATCGGAAGTCGAAGACGGTGCCAGCAGCGGCGCGGCGGGCCAGCCTGCGCCGAGCCTCAGCCTCCGCACCTCGCGCCCCAGCTCAACCGGCTCCCTGCGCAGGCCTGCGCCTCAGTACAACGAGAGCGAGTTCGTCGCCCCTGCCAGTGACTCGGACGCAGCGCGTGGCAAGGCCGCGCGCGTAAACGGCGGTGCCGGTGCGGCCGCAACAGACCAACGCGAGTCGGACGCAGTGCCGCCCATGCTGTCCGAGAGCGTCCTGCGCCAGCTGTCCGAGGCACAGCAGTCGCTCAACAACTGCCAACTGCAGCAGCAGCAGCAAACCGGCTCGATGCGCTCCGGCGCGCCGAGCGACACGGCAAGCGGCAAGCGGCGCAAGAGGCTCTCCATCAGCTCGCTCAGCCAGCGCGCCGGCCATACCAATGGTATTGCCAGCACTAAAGGCATCTCCAGCACTAACAGCAGTGCCGGCGTGCAACAGCTCTCCCACAACAATCGCTCCACCGTCATCAGTGGCGGCGGTCACAACAGTGCCGGCAGGGGCGACGGCAACACGATCGCGCAGCTCTATGCCGTCTTCGGCCTCCCGAAGGACCCGTCCGTTTGGACGCTCGCAGAGGAAGACTGCGTCAACGGTGTCCACCACGTTGACGGCGCCGTCGGCCGCTTCTGGCGGCCCGAGGTGCTCGGTTGCTCCATCTGCCCGTCGCCGTCAGAGGTGCTCGCGTCCGATGAGGCTGGGGGCCATAACATCAACACCAATAGCAGCAGCAGTAGTAGCAGTAGCAGCAGTCGACCCGGCAGCTCCCGTGGTGGCGCGGGCGACAAAAGGTCGCAGCAACACCAACACGACGCAAATGGCCGCAGCAACAAGCCGGTCAACCCCAAGTTCCTTGAGATGGCCGACGGCATGGGCGGCATCGAAAAGGCCGAGACGGCGCGCGTGCTCTCCAAAGCGCTCAAGCTCTCCTTCACCCGCGAAATCGAGATCATCTCTGGACACGCCAGCTACCCGCCCATGTCGACCACACACACGTTCAGCTTCAGCGTGCCCACCATCCGCACCGGTCCGTCCGCCGGCGCGCCCGGCGCCAACGGCAGCGTCCTCGGTGTCTCGGTGCAGAACAAGACCGGCTCCAGCAGCAACGGCGTCGGCGAGGGCTTCAAGGGTGGCAGCGGCCTTGGCCTCCACCGCGGCGGCTACAGCTACAGCAGCGGTTGCGCTGGACCGGGCGGCGGTGACGACGACAGCACATCATCGGCCACGTTCTACGGCGTCGTCCTCACCGTCTGGAGCGCCGCAGACGAAAAGCGCACGCGCGCCATCAAGCGAGAGCTCCAGCGCGCGCTCAGGCAGCGCAACGGAAGCGCCATCAGCGAACCTGCGAGCAAGCGCAACAGCAGCGCCGCCAAACAGCAGAAGCAGCAGCGCGGTGGCTTCTGCGGCGCCGAGTCGGAGGACTATTCCGCCAACGAGGACGATCCGACCGGCGAAGGGTTCAGTCTGTTGCCAGCCAACAATGCGTTCTTCATGCCGTACGCGATCTGCATCGTCTCGCGCTTCCCGATTTACAACTTGCTCCGTGACCTCGACACCGCCGCGTGGGGGCGCTACAGCCGCAACATCGAGAAGCACAACCAGACCATGTCGGCTATCCTGCGTCACCCAGCGCCGCGCATCGGTGAGACATTCAATATCCAATCGCCGGACGAGGACGTGGACTTTGTCTGCACCTTTCCCGGCGCGCTCGAGTGGGGGCGCGGCCTCATCGGGATCGACTTTGCCATGTGGCCACTGTTCAAGACGCTCTCCGTTGACAACATCCTCACCATCTGTGAGCACGCGCTCGTGCCCACCGGCCGCGTCCTCTTTTATTCGCGCCATCCGGCCCTGCTGGGCGTTGCCGTCGAGACGATCAAGTACCTCGTCGAGCTGCGCGGGTGGAAGGGCGTCTCCAACCAGATCTGTCACGCGCGCGACGTCAAGATCTACCTCGAGGACCCCGGCTCGTGGATCATTGCGATCAACACTGAGCTCCGCAGCATCGTCCGCCCCGCCAAGCAGGTCTGCGTCGTTGACCTCGACATCAACTTCGTCAACTGCCCCAACCCGCCGCCTGGCGTGCCGTCTACCAAGGGCCTTCGCGAGCGCAGGCGCAAGCGCCTCCAGGGCGTCTTTGGCTCCCTCGCGCCAGAGTACATGCCCCCGCGCGAATTCATCGAGGCCTACCCCGGCGGGCGCTTCCGCCCGCTGAGCAACATCTCTTCGCGCACCACGCAAAGCCCGTACGACCGGCTCGACCCGCCCATCTGGTGGGACCAGGGTACCATCGTCAGCGCTTTCGATAAGGCGCTCCAGGAGACGTCGCGCTCGAGCTTCATGCAGAAGGTTCTCAAGCGCTCCGCCGTCAAGCACCGCCTCCAATCGCAGGCGGAGCTCGACACGATTCTCGCGCTCCGCAGACGTGCCAGCACCTTCGTCGACGCGCGCGACGGCCTCGAGAATAAGATTGGCCGCCTCAACAAGCGCCTCGCTTTCCTCTTGAGCGAGAGCGACATGTGGAAGATGCAGTTCGAGAAGATCCAGCAGCTCGTCGACCGCCTGACCAAGGAGGCCACCGACCTTCGCATAAAGGTCGACCGCGAAAGAAGAGAGTCTCGCCGTCTTAGTAGCACGCTCGCCCAGAGGGACATGGAGCAGGTCCAGCTCCAGATCCAACTCAAGGGTGCGTCCGCGCAAATTCGCTCTCTCCTTCGTTCTGACGCTGATCTTGCTCTTGCCCTGTTTTTCGTCCGGTTGTGCAGAGACCGAGGCGGCTCGCGAAAAGGCCAAGGCAGACCTCGCGCGCATGCAGACCGCCATGGAGTCGCTCGAGGCAGAGAGGGAGAGTATGATGGACGAGATCCGCAACGTCCTTGCGGGCACCGGCGAGGACCTCGCCTTCCTCTCGCGCTTCTCGCTGCTCTCCGAAAGCAACTCGCGCTCCAGCAGTCCGTCCGGCAGCGCCATGACCCACGGCTCCAACCTGAGCCCCTCGCAATCGGCCGACTATATCGCAAAGAGCCGTGCACTCGCCGAGCAGCGTCTGGCCATGCATGGCGGCAAGTTCTCCAGTCTCTCCTCGGCCCACAGTCACGCTAGTAGCGATGCAGTTCACAAGACAAGCATACACCGAATTCGTAGCACGGACAATATCAAGGACGAGACTCGATCCGCGCAGAATCACTTCCCTGATGACCAGATGAATTATGGTACGTGCTTTTCATGCGACATCGAGCGCGCATGGAGGAGAGCTGGATGCTCATATCTTCCCACACATTGCGCTTTCCAGAAATTCAACAACGCACATCGGTCGTCACGAGCCAGATCAGCAAGATCCAGCAGCAGCTCGAAAGCACGCTTTCTAACCTGGAAGGCAGGAGGTCCAGTATGAACGAGCGTGGCGCTCGTCGCCGCGGGTCATCCTCCTCCATCAGCAGTCGCTACGAATACAGCAGCACCCCACTGCGCGATGGCAGTGCCTCCAGCATTGGCCATGCATCTGGCTCTGTCGCTGGCGACAAGGCAGAGGCCAAGTACGACGCGGTCGAGTCCATATCGGGGCAAAAGGGAAGAGATGGTCTGCCGCCGAAGAACGCACGGCGTACCGGTACCGCTTTGGAGGTTGGTTCGATCGGTCGCTCCGCGGTTCCCCCGTCCGTCAAGTCGCCTCCACGACAGAAGGAGCCTGAGAACGCCTGGAAGGAGCTTGCCAACACACCCAAGAGCGGCATGGCCATGTCTCCCGCTGATTCAAAGGACTCGCTCGGCAATAACTTCAACCCCATTGCCCGTTCCAATGGTCGTGCTCCTTTTGACAAGGGCAAAGGTCGCACAGTCGAGTCCGGCAGCGAGTCGGATGGCGGACAGCAAGCGGCCAGCAAGTCATCGGCTCCTACGTCGCCAAGCGATGCACCTGCTTCACAATACACTTCCACCCCTCCTACCACGGTCGCCGGAACCAGCGACTTTGACACCTGGTCCAGCACGGGAAAGTAGAGTCAATCGACACGCGCCACCGCATACGTCTCTACTGAATTATTCCCTGCTCGACCTTCGCCTCCCACCTGTACTCTACTCTGCCTCAAGCATCTCCCTTTCTCAACTCGTGGGACGGATATCTATCGCGTCACCCGAGGATCACACATCACAGCCGGTTCTTACATGCTGACTTCACATACCCCTGGCCGTATGGTCTTGTAACGGAGGTCCTTTCATCTTAATTGCACTGTAGATTTTTGCCTTCCCACCCTTCCACCGACCGCTGGTTTGCCACCTCGAAACTCTTAATTGAAATTCTAACCACCCACCCGTTCGTAAAAAAGATGCCTTCTGACCTATGGAAGGAGTCATCCACACACCCTGGAAGCTTCCTTGCGCGGTAATCTGCGCCTAGGGTGCGGCATGCGGGTCAGGTTCCAGTGTATGCAGCATGGCGGGGAGTCTATGCATCGATCGCTCCTTGTAAGCAGACCCAGATGCGACGATCTCGGCGAGTGAGCAATCAAAGACGCTTATGCTTGGCACAATCAACGTGAAGGCGCAATCGAAGGCAGTGGGAGTGCAACGGTTACGACTGATGCCAGAGCTACAAGGACCGTTACCCTGCTGCTGGTATATGCACTTTCTTTCCATGTAATACAAGCAATCATCAGAAACACGAGTGTCACACCCTATTCGGAACGATAGGCACAGTACAGGAGCCGTAGAGGACCTTACTCGCTCAAGCATGTGAAGGGCCGATGAAAGCGTTCCACTCTGTACGTAGACAAGCAGATCCGGGGTCTCAGAGAGAGAACCTCCGAAGAGAGGCGAGCTTGCGAGCTTTCCAGAAGTGCGCATCCCATTGCGGCGGAGACAAGAATAAGGAGATCAACTTCTTTTGTGGCAGGCTTTTCGCAAGACTCAAAATGTATCCGACAGATACAAGGAGGCCGTAATTTAACTGGGTGGAAGCTGAGCGGAATTTACTCGAGCAGGCCGCCGAGAAGCTGCATGACGCGCTCCTGTCTGGCAATATCTGCTTTGTGTGTCGAACAAAAGAAGCAAGGCACGCCTAATTCTTGCAGATGCTTCTGCTGACTGCTCCTCAGTTCGTCCCAACGCTTTAGGATCTTGCGATCGTATGCAGCAGCATTCGCCTGGACCAGCGCAGAACTGAGGAAAGGTCACTCTCGTTAGAAGAATCGTTCAGGTCGAGCATAGCAACTACTCACCCTGGACCTCGCAAGTGTTCGCCACGTTCCCCCGTAAGCTTCAGCCTTCCAGCGAGGAGTTCATCCTCCAGAGCATCTTGGTCCCGTTTAAGCTGCAAAAGAGCGGCAAGGAACGTCTCGTCCTGTGCCAAACGTGTCAAAGTCGGGAGGGCTTGAGCGAATGTGAGGTTGCGTAAATCTTTGACTGGCGTAGGAGCCGGACCGCCTCGAAGGGAGGGGTTGGCTTGCGTGCCTGTAACATTGCTCGTGGGGATCTGTTTCGGTTCCGGAACCGATGCTACGGGAGCTCTGCTCAAGATCGATCCTGAAGTCGGCGCATGTTGGGGCAGAGAGGATCGAGCTTGCGTAGCTTGTGCGATCTGGTCAGCGGGACTAAATGCACTTGCCCTGCTCTTTCCCCCTTTTGGCACATAGCCGTCCTCTTCGCGGTCGTCGCCGAGCCCTTGAAAGCTCAGGGGCTTTCCTCGCACATCTGAGCTGCTACTGCAGCTTACATGGTATCCATGTGGCTCAAAAGCGCTACTATATGCGTGCCCAGCATATGAACGAGCGCTGTTGGAACTGCCAGCAGAGTATCGGGGGGCTAGCGCGGTATTCGAAGTAGTGCCAGTCGAGTCTTGCGTCGAGCGCAGAAGTTCGAGCAGCGCTTTCACCCCCGCAGGATCATCGATGGACGCAGCCGAGAAACCGGACATGATACTGCGAAAGCGCTCATCGCTGCAGCGTAAGGCAAGCTGGACTTGTACATAGAACGCCCGCAACGATCAGTCACAATTGGTTGCGAAGTTTTGAAGTCCGTTTCAAACGACGTGTTGCGTGTTCACGCGCGCCCACGAGTCTCTAAGCTCCACCGATGGGTGGCGAATGGCATGGTCACGTGACCTGGCGCGTGTAGATGTTGCTCGGCACAAAGCACTCAACACCCATGACAGGTAATGACGAGCCGGGGGGGACCTTGATGGAGTTCATGCTCCACTGTTGTCCAACGTCAACGCCTCCGTGCTCGGTCAACACTATCCAGCATCTGCAGGCCATATCCATCTCCTGCAAGACCCATAATTACGTCGTTGTCGAATGGCTCCCGGTGATGCAAGCTCCGGGGCAATCTGTGATTGGCCACCAGCGACGGCCTTCGCACGCTCGAGGCCCGTCGCATGACGACTTGGCCCCAGGAATGCAGCCCTCGCCGTCAAAACGCCATGCAAGCGGCGCCCACAAGCCCTCTCAGCCAGCTGGAAATCCAAATGGAGAATCGAAGGCAGCAGCTCGCGCCCCACTCATGTCGCCAACGTTGCTTCCGGTAGGCGACAAGGAAAACAGCCCTCATCCAAATTCCCCTGCCATGGACCGCTTTGTATTTCCGAGCGGACACAGAGAGCAGCTTCTATCTCTCTTCAGTGAGACGCAAGTAGTCGGATCTTCGCCGTTCGCGCACCCTCATCAGCATCAGTATGATTACACACAGCTACAAAGGCCGCAGCCACAGCCGCTGACGAGCGTCCAGCGAGGCCGAGCCACTAGAAAGGAGCCCCTCAAGACCGGCGACGAGGAACGGACACCTTTGTCACCGAAGAAAGTGAAGAAGGGAAGAAGCAAAAGCAGGCAGCGCCAAGCGAGCGGTGCAGCTGACTTCACCGACGGAGACATGCTGGCGCACTCTAGAGTGACATCAAACAGCCAACCGAGCAAGGACGTCATCGACGCTGATTTTGCCAATCTTTTGGTAAGCTGTTCTGTGAGAGCGGCGTGATGGGCGTGGGGCTGATGGTACCTGTGCATTCTCAGAACCAACTTGAAGTGTCACAGTCTCTGCGAGGGAACTTGGTTTCCTTGGATGCCTCCGTGAAGCTTAGCATGCTCAAAGGCAAGGAGACGCTCACGCTGGCTTCGCTTGGTTTTGGCCCTACAATCCGCCCTGGAAGTCCTAACAAGAGTCGTACTCCCAGCGCATTTTCCGGCATCAAGAAAAGCTCGAGCAGCAGCACGGCTGGCGGCCTGTCAACAATGAGCCCTTCCTCGTCTGCAGCTGATGGTTTCGGTATCTCGATCAATATGATGTCCCCTCCTCTGTTATCCACAACGCCCAAACTTGCGAGCTCAGCTGCATTGGGCACTGCTAGACTGCGGACAAACTCGTTCTCCTCACTGCTGCCGGGGGGAGGCTTTTCCGCCAACAGCACCAGCAGCAATAGCAAAGAGACCCCATCTCACTTTGCAACATTACTCAAAGCGAATGATGCAAGCCTTATCGACGTTTCCAAGGTCAAGCGCATGCGCGCTGTCCTAGCCAGCGAGTCGCCTTCCTGGATTGCAGAGTTCGCAACCGAGCATGATGGATACAGCGCCATGCTGACTAGGACAAAGGAGTTGCTGGATATGGAATGGAGATCGGAACAGCACGACGACCAACTGCTTCACGAACTGCTGCGGTGCTTTGTGGCTCTTAGCACGAGCGATGTGAGTGGGGCCGAATGTGCTTGATCTGGGAAAAGGGTTGAGGCTGACACTGTTCGCCATCGTCCATTCAGCGCGGCAGAAGCGTCCTACAGTCCCATGCCCCTGCGCCGTTCGTAGGCCTGGCCGATTTGCTCTTCTCAGAGAAAAAGCCGGGCGACCTGCCAACGCGCAAGCTCATCGTAGATCTGTTGACCATCTTTATACAGCTAGATCTATCTGAGCAATGCTGCGATTCCACCTCGATAACTAACACACGGCAGCGCTCATCATGTCTCTCTGAAGCGCAGGACCGCTCAACCTCTCGCCTGTCTCTCGCCGAGCAACTTCTCCTGGCGCTTCTCCACAATCCACGGGACCCAAGTAAGGAAGCGCTCGTCGACTTTATCTCGGCGACCCACACTCCACGGCCTTTTAAGACATATGTTCTCGAACTCAGCGGAGTGGCGAGAGACTACTTCTGGATCTTTTGCCATGGGCAGAATCGATATTGGAGACTCGAGGAGATCAATCCAGCGGAGATTGAAGGACCCAAGGTGCCGGGTGGCATGACTGGTGGTGTCGAATTTGAGGCGATGACATACCTCGTGAGTTGCCCTCCGTAGCTTAGCGAGGGGCAAGGAATGCGCTGACAGTAATTGCGTGCACAGGCGGCCCACCTGCGATTGATGAACATCCTCGGCCGTACGCTCCTGCAACGGACCACCGCGCGGAGTACCGCGGCCTATCAATTCTACACATCGTTGTTCGATTCTGGTATCGAGCGTCTGCTTGCCGTGCTCAGGCGAGCAAGTCAGGTGTACTACCAGCACATGCATCTCGAGCTAGCGCGGCTCTTCGCTCTCGCCGAACAGAGTGGATTCAACATGCCAGCAGGGTTGAGGATATGGCATGCGAGCGCCAGCAGCAGCGGCGCACCCATGCTCGACATGCAGATCGGGCGCAGCCGTGAATCCGGCAGTCCGGCAAAGGCGCTGGCTCAGGCGCCGGCAGAAAACAAGAGGCGGGCCCATGCACGGAACAAGAGCGAGGACACAGAGCACAAGCCACGCCCGCGGAGCCCATATCCCTCGCAGCATGCCAGAAGTAAGACCGAGGCAGATGCAAAAGAGACGACCACAGCATCTGTCGACGACACGATCTTTCAAATGGTCAGCCCTGTTCTCGCGCATGCGCCGTCTCTGCCTCCTCGGCCGGCAGCATCGCCGCCGAAGACGGAACGAGAAGCCAGCCTGGTGGCGAGCGAAAGCGATGCGGATGAAGACACGTCACTCTCGCTCATGGCGGCCGTCATGTTTCCTCGCATCGCAGCTTCGACGTCACCTCCTGGTACAACGTCATCGATAACAGATGGCTTTACCAGCCCGGCACACGCATCGTCTGTCTCCACCACGGGTTCGACTGCTGCCGTGCCGATACCGGCAGCGCCCATCCCAGCGCTCACACCACCCTCAGCAGCCGATGCACCGCGCTTTCCCAACCCTTACGCGAGCGCGAGAGGGCCAGGCAACACCGCCAGCTCACACACGGAACCTGCGGGTGCTACGGCAAGTTTGATGGACGCATTCTCGCCGACAATCACTTCGCCGCAGTCAGGCTCTGCTGCTGGGTTCAGTGCTGGATTTGGCTTGGCCCCTCCTCAGAGGACGATAGGGCAGAACTCGCTAGTCGGCAGCGCCATCCGGCAGTGGGAGCAGCGTGCGGCGTCCATATCTCCTTCTGCTTTACACAACCCCCGAGGAGGCGGGAATCCTCTCCCCCTCCCACCCTCGCAGCACCATGGTTCTGCAGCGTTGGCAAAGGGCCAGCGCTGACAAGCTTCAGCCACCTCCGCAACCTCTGCGTCAGCTATCGAGGTGGGTTAACCGGCAGTTGGCACGAATGGAATGATCGCTGGGTGGTCTGGAGGTAGCAGATGCTCGCCTAGTGGTATGTACCAGTGACACGTATGCCGACACATATTTCGGACCTTTTTCAACGCACGATCGTGCCTTCTTCGTACTGCTCCTTCCATCTCGCAATGCCATGCAATCGTATGTACACTGATCAGTGAGCTGTGACGGCAGCACACCGCTTGTCGGTGTTTCGGGTGCAGTTGCCGTATGATAGAAACCAAGTATTTCGTGGACGAGTCGCAGCAAATGCAGGTAGTCGGCTGCAAGCAGGTGGGCCAGAGCTCCACAGCACAAGCCGTCGCTGTGCTCAGCGATATGGACGGGGTTGGCTGGAGCGGAAGAGCTCTCTCACGAGAGCGCGGCGAATATCGACAGATATGTGAGCCTGTCGTCACAAAACGCAAGCCTTTGGGGCTGTGGAGCATCCTGATTGGTTCGGCGGCGCTCCACCTGTGTATCCTGTGTCACGCACTCGCGGACAGCAGAATGTCAGGATTGATGTTTTGAAGAGTGGAGACTCAGAGAGCGCGATTCCCTTGTGCCCTTTCTCATCTGACAGTGACCTTCGCTGGTCTTCTGCGCCTCTGTTTGGTGATTCGCGAGGATACCGGCTGTGGAGGAGTGTCGGATGCTTGATATGCAGAAAGGTGACTATTAATAGCGCGGAATGGAAGTTCGCACGTGACTGATTTCGGCTGTTCTGGAACCTTCGCGCGCGTTCGATTGTGCAGCAACGCGTCACACTCACGAACCCATCCCATCCACGTCCCATGCTTTTCTTTCGGTCATAGCCACCGAAGCATTGCAACAAGACCACGTCAGCCCGAAGCGGTGCAGGCAAGTATATAAGGTGCGCAGTCCATACTCTCGAATCATCATGCCCTCCTCCCATCATCACCCAATAACACCAACCAGCGAAGCGCAGAGTTCCTTCGCCTACACCAATCGATAGCTCCTCAAGCTCATCAGCCAGCATGTCAGTCTTCATCTACCCGTCTCACACCGCATGGTACCAGCCCACGGCGGCACCGCCGACCGCATCTCGTCGCCGGCAGTCGGCAGTGTTCAGCGGCCGTTGCATGCCTGTCGCCTACTCACAAGAGCCAGTCAGGTCGCATGCATCCGGCTTCTTGCCCTTCGATGGGGAGGATGCCTCGTCCGACTTCTTTTCCGTCCTCGCCTCTGAATGGCAGCATCAACAACATCAGCAGCAGAGGCGGCAGCAACAGCAACTCGAGGCTGAGCGTGAACGCCAGCGTCGCTTCCGTCTAGCTCGTCAGCGCCAGGCGCAGTTGCTCCAACTACATCGTCAGCGCCAGCTCGAGGCTGAACGCGAACGTCAACGCCAGCACGAGAGCGAGAGGCAAAAGGCGCAGGCTGCTGCCTTCTTGCAGAATCTGCTCGCTCAGTATCTGCAAGGCTTTCAAGAGGAGGAGCGAGAGGTACAGCGCCAGGAGCAGCTTCGTCAGCAACAAGCTCGCCAGCTCCAGCTGCAGCGCGCACGCGCCACCGAGATCCAGCGTCAACTGCAGCATCAGCGTCAGCGCCATGTAGAGTCTCAACAACACTTCTTCAAGCAGCTTCTCGGTGCTCTGCCGCACTCCTACTGCAAAAATGAGAATGAACAGCGTCAGCAAGAGGACGAGGAGATGAGCAATGCTACCGATCTCATCGAGCAGACTGTCAAGCATGTCTTTGGCGGCCTCTTTGGCGGCCTTGACGCCGAGACTGCTGCTCACCCGCAGCGACAAGAGCAAAGGCAAGACTCGCAGCAGCAAACTGAGAGACAGAAAGATGTAAGCATTTGTTGTCAATGCGCACCTTGACCATTTGCCCAGCAGTCACTCATCCACTCGCTCTCTTCTTGCCACAACCAGGTCTGTCAGCCCGACGAGAACAAGGACAAGGGACATGACGAGATGCCGACCGACGCAGCGCCGACGCCGGCTGCGAACCCGGCTCCTGTTGCGACTCCTCCAGACGTCGAGCAGTCACTGGTCACCGCTGAAGAACGCGAACAAGGTCAAGAGCACATGTCGGAGCACGTGCTCTTCTTCCACCCGTTCACGCCTGCTCTCATACGCGACTCGTCGGCCATCAAGTCGTCCGAAATTGACATTCACGTCGACCCGTCCAAGCGCGAAGTGGTCATCAAAGGCCTTTGGCCCGCCGACGCACCTGCGTCCGCATATGGCAATGACAGCAGTAGCAGCAGCCCCAGCGGCGGGAGCGGGAAACGCAAGCGCAGGAACAGCAGTCGCAGATGCCGCCGTCACAAGACGGCGCACGTGCGCGATGTCGACGAGCGCACAGGCGAGGAGATCATGCTGCCTGAAGACTCGGAGGAGAGTGCAAACGAGCAGGCGGATGACGTTGTTGTCCTCTCTAACGACAGCAGCGGCAGTAGCAGCGACAGCAGCGCCTCGTCTGACGCTGGCGACGCCGAAGACGACAAATCGCTCGTCCACGTCGACGGCAGCTCGAACGCCAATGCCAATGCCGACGCTAATCCCAACCCCAACGCGGGTGCAGGCATGATCAGCAAGAGCTTCGGCATCCCCGCCGGAGTCGACCTGGCGCTGATTCAGGCAGACCTTACCCATGAAGGGTTCAAGATCTGGGTCCCTGCAGCAACAACAGCAGCATCGACGGCGACGCCAGCGCAGCAGACGCAGCAGCGGCGGGAAGAGGCTGAGCAGGAGCTGGATGATCTGCAGCTTGACTGAATGGACGATCGTTTGCCCGATGTAGATCACATTGCGCGGATTTCTTGTGAAGTATTGTGTAACTTTGGTATTGAGGACATCGTCCGATCCAATTTCACCAGCACCGAATACAAATTAGATTGCGAAGTTCTATTTGCCGAGTTGTGCGTCTGCCGCTTGTGCGCTGGAATCTAGCCTGCTCTCTTATTGGAGAATGATTTTAAACTGCTTGGCGCCAACCCATTGCAGGTGTTTCGGATCAGGCAGCAGGACATGTACATGATCAACGCATCATATCCAGTGTATAATATGCACCTTGTACATGTACCTAACCCACCGCCGCCTAGTACCGGCCTCTGGGCTGACTGTGGCGCAGATGACACACTTACCAGGCCTCCGGGCTGCAAGCAGACGATGGCCTTGCGATGGATTAAGGCATGAAGTGATGAAGCGGCGAAAAGGAGACGGAACAGGTCGAGGTTGGGTTCTTTCACCCCATCGGCAGACACAGTGCGCCTCGCGTGGGCGATCATGTGCTGACGCCCTGAGGGAGGCGTCCAGAGATGTCCTGGTGGCTTCTAGCCAGGCCAGGCCAGGGGCTGGCCAACAAAACGCCATCAGCAGGAGAATATTTCCAGCGCATGGCATGTTGCATGCACGGGTTGCATCTTCGCTGTCCTAACAAGGAAAGACGTCCTCCTACATGCAAATGCTAGACTCGGTGCATTCTTTCAACATCCATAGTACCGCAGCAGTCACAGGATGTAGGTACGTACATTAGACGCCCACTACCTAGCCAGCAAGCAGTGGGCGGCAAGTTGCGCACACACGTAGAGTGCCAGATCTCGGCGCGCCGTGCAGAGAGGGCTCTGGTGCCCTCTCCGCCCAGCCGCCGGCAACTTGCCATAGTCGACTTAGTGCTAATGGGCGCTTGTGAGGCGCAATGCCTGGCTGGACACTGCTCCTGTGCCCTAGCCAAGCCAGGCTCTATTTGTCTCTCTTTGTTCCTTCCAGTCTGTTCGATGCACGTTGCTTGCGGCTAATTATTACACATCTCGCACCTCCCTCCGAATGCATGCCTCCATCCCTACACACTCTTCCCTTCTCTTTCGGATGGACTCGCCATCGTTCAGCGCACCTTGCTCCCATCCCGCGCAGGTAACGGGCAGGTAACGAGCACTCGATCGAACAGTCTCGGTGCCGCAATTCTTCGCCTAAGCACCCCAGACGATTGGTCTGCGCGTGTGTTGCGCCCGTGGCTTCGGTTCCTACTCCTGCTTCTGCTTCTGCTCCTGCTCCTGCTTCTACACCTGCTCTTCTCGCCCTGCCGACACTGTAGCCGCAGTACCCATACATCTATCTGCCTTGCTTCCTAACTGGCCATCTACCCCATTCGCATGCGATTATAGCCCATTATCATGTCCACCAGCGCTACCACAGGTGCAGGGCCATCCCGATCGCAGCGCGGGTCGCTCGTCCTGCGTCCTTCTTCCTCTTCCTCTTCGTTGCGTCCACGCAGTGGCTTGGTTTCCGAGCAGGCGCACCTCGAGGAATGCGCCCGAGGAGATGAGGAATATACCACACCGCAAGAAGGGCGCAGCGACCGAGTCGCGTCCGCAAGCCTTACCAGTGCGCTCGCATTCGCAGGCGGCAGCGGCGGCGACGCTTCGGCGACAGAAAATGTGACTCGCGCAACGACGCCTTTCCCGCTCGCCTCCAATCACTATAGCCCAGTGGCTGGCGCCACCAAGTCGAGATCGTCCTCTTGGAAATATCCGACCTATGGCCAAGAGCAGCGGCACCTCGCGGACGCATACCCGTCCTACCACCCTAAGAGCCCGTCGATCCCGAAGTCTCCCAGCAGCGACAAGAACAATGAAAAGGATAGCGGAGAGTACGAGCTCCACGAAGAGAAGGAACCCCGTCATGGCCAAGGTGTGGCGGCGCTTACTGTCACGTATCACAAGCTGGGGGCGCGGGTTCGGTCCGCGAGGCGGAGGCGGCCGGCGCTCTTCTACGCAATACTCGCGCTCATCGCCGCAACAGTCCTCGTCGCCGTCATCGCCGGCGCCGTGATAGGCTCACGCACATATGCACACGACGACAGCGTACCGGACGTCGGCTCTCCGCTTGCCACAGGGCTGGTCGCGCCGGCCGGGTTCGTGTATGCGTGGAGTATAGCCGGCGCGCGCACGTCGTGGGAGGACGATGCGCCGTACCTGTCGCGCCTGACGCTCAACAACACGCACCGCGTCGCGCAGCGCGCTGTCGTGGCGTGCGCGGCGCAGTGCTCGCAGCCAGTGCTCGGATCGATCGACGGCGGCGTGCCGTGCAACGCGTTCCAGCTCGTTCAGTTCCCTACTGCCAGCAACGAGGGCGACGTCGTCTGTGCGCTGTACGCAGCGCCCATCGCCAAAAAGAATGCCACCGCCTCGGTCGGCGTTGCCGGCGGCGCCGCAGGCCCCAATGGCATCCCCGGCGACGCGGACGACCCCGCCGACACGACCGCACCGCCCGTCATCGCGAGCTACACGTTCCAACGCACCCACCTCATCGGCGGCGGCAGCAGCGCCGGCGATAACGGAACTCAGCAGCAGGCGCAGCTTTCGCCGGGCCAAGTGGCTGGTCCGTGGCGCAAATTGCCCGCTAGCCCTGCTGGTGCATCCTTCATCCAGTTCCGGCCGTGTCCGCGTGTGACGAACGCGACCGTACCGATGTTCGTCAACAAGCAGTGGGTCGACACTACTGGCGGCAGCGGCAATGTGACTTCGAACGCCACTGTCGCCATCGTCATCCAGCACGGCATCGGGCGTGACTTTCAGAATGCCTGGGAGGGCATCTACCCGATCGTCGACGGCGCCAGCACCGTGCTCATCGCGCCCAACTTCTACCTCCCGAGCGACTCCCCGCGCATGATGATCACCGGCACCCTCTCCAACTGGTTCGACCCGGCGCACAACCTCGCCTGGGCCAACTTCGGTAGCTGGGTCGGCGGCGATGATCCGGTCGCGCCGCGCAACACCGGCAGAAGCAGCAACGGCGACAGCGGCGGCTGGCCAGGCGCGGGCGCCGCGTGCAGCACATACAACGTCTACGACGCAATCCGCACCGTCCTCCACAACAGCACTGCCTACCCCCGCCTGCGCACCGTCTACTGGGCCGGCCACTCGGGAGGCGGCGCGTTCGTCTCGCGCTACGCACTCGTCGCGGATGATGCGCCGGACGCACTTAACATGCGATACGTGCACGCCAACGCCCCCAGCTTCCCGTACTTTACCGCCGATCGTCCCGGCCAGGGCCAGGGTCAGATGCAGGTGGGCAGCTGCCAAGGGTTTAACAGCTGGATGTACGGCCTCGACGGCGGATTCACGCGCTATGTCGAGGCCAAGGTCACCACGCCGCATGACATGTTCAAGTAAGTGGCTCCGACCGTCATCCGTCGGCTGACATCTGTCGTCTTTGTCTCGCTCACGTGCAATTCCTCTCCGCGTACCTTTAACAGGCGCTACATTGCCCGTGACGTCGTCGCGCTGCAAGGAGACATGGACACGCGCTCGCGTTACCCCGTCGGCGACTACGAGTGCCAGGTCCTCGCGGAAGGAGGAGACAACCGGCGCGACCGCAACTATGCGTGGTGGGTGTATAAGGTCTTGCTCGCCGGCGCGCCGCTCGACGTGTCCCAGTTCGTGGGATACTCGGTGCTCAAACCACTCGTGAGGAGCCTCAACCTTGTCCCCACTACCACCCCTGCTGCTTATAGTGCATCGTCCACGAGCGCTAATGCGGGCGGCGGCGGAGCTGTCTTTAACCACCGCTTTTGCGTTGTCCCCGGCGTCGGCCACGTGGATGAACCCATGTGGGCCTCGACGTGCGGCAAGGCGTCGTTCATGCCCCAAGGCCCTACGCCGGAGATGAGCGCGCCGCCTAATACCCCATAGACAGCCTTACGCGCTCGCTCGCACGCGCCGCTTCGCTTTGCTTCCCGGTATACTCAGCATTCATTATGGGCCTTCTTTTTAATGATTGACTTGCACATCATACAGTCTGCCCATCCTTCCATTGGGACAATGCTCACATCAGAGGTCCATACGCACCTACATTGCATTTACGTGTCTACGCCCGCGTTAGTGGTGTACAGTTTATCTTGACAGGATCAACGAGAACAAATAATTATACTTTTCTGCACGAAGGCGGTCGAAGTGAGAGAATGCTGGCGAACGTCGCTGGGATTCGCTGGGAGAGCGCAAGCACTGCGAGGAACGTCGTGAAGAAACAGTATACATCCTTGCGGAGTGTAAGGTGCAGGGGAGTACTGCATTACATTCCCCTTGATCGACCAGGCCCTTACTCGCGAAGGGTGCCTTCCGTTCGCATCGACACGGCCGAGTGTGACAAACGGGCCATTTACATAGCAAGGCTTGAGCCGGGTTCGAGAAAGGCTTCCCTACGTGAACGACGCCACTGATGGAACCGATACAAGCACATCGACCCATGATATACATAGCACACCTACGTGTCATGGCCAAGGGGTGGTCGGGTGCGCAATCTTGTGACATTTTTGGATGGAAGATTGGATGAGATCAAGATGATAATCTGAAGCCAAAGGCCTGAAAGGCCCAGCCGCCAAGGAGCGAGAGAAAGCCATCTCATTTGGGCCAGGTGACCGCTCACTTTTTTGGCATATGACGTCATTGCTCATCGAATTGAACTTCCAAAGGCCGGTCGCTCCGGAAAGTGCGGCCTTGCGCGGAGCTTGCATGTTCACTGCGTCACCGCAGCAGTCCAACGTATGTCCCAGAACTGCCCCAATTTTTTTTAACCACCCCAACCCCCACAAGTCCACCCAAAACTCCAAAATTACTACATGTAGACGCGGTGGGCCATCTTCCTTACGCTGAGGGTCTGAGTAGCTGTGAGCATGTCAGAGCAGGCCCGATAGGAGCACAAAGCGCCGCTGTTTTCTACATACCAGCCTTGGTCTTGATACTCGTGCTTGAAGTCTTGTGTGGGGGAAAGGGTGATTGGACGGGCTTGGGTGCCTCTGCGCACTTTTGTGGCAACCGGATCTGTGTCCCCACCACACATCTTTTCTGTGATGAATGCTGTGTTTGTTCTGTTGTCTGTTTCTCTCTGTTCCGCATCATCAATTCAGTACGCCATCCCCGGCCCAAGCGAGAGCTGGAGAGAGCTGCGGTGCTCAGGCGCGGGCGACCTGTTCCCGCCGTTAAATAAACGTTGTGGCCAGCCACACAAATGCGGAATACAGAGACGCACAGCCCGGGGGTATTTTTCTTTTTCTTTCATTCTTTTTATGTGTCCTGCTGGCGATGTGACGTGTGGGTCTAGAATCTGACTGACCCATGATGATGACGCTGTTATGCGAGAGGAGACACGACTCAGACGAGACATGCACTCCCTTCTCTCCCTCGCCCTTGGCCTCTGCCGCTGTCTGGATCATCCAGCATCATCATCATAGCCCCGCCGCCGCCTTCCGTCCAGGCAGCAGCAGCAGCAACAGTGAACCCGCAACATCATTCATCAGCTTGCCCTCGTCTGCGACGTTGGTAACTGTTCAAACATCATCATCATTCAACCACCTCGGGCTGTATCGGTGGGACGACTCCAAATGCCTTCCATCGAACCCCCCTCCCACCGACTCTATTTCGTTTGAGCATCGAACGCTGTGCGCAGCCGTTGCGCTCTTCCCTCCACACCACTGATTGCAAAGCACGGCCAAGCATTGGAAAAGCTCAGCTTCTGCTCAGCTCTTCATAGCTCGAGGGCTCGACTTTTCAGAGGACGAGCCGATCTGACACAAGCCCAACGCAGAGCTTATGTATGCTTCCCGAAACTGCGAATCAGCTGTCTCTCCGAATCGCCGACTCCAGCTCGCAGGTTGTGGGAACCTACCCCTACGCCGTTTACTTTGGTCCTCGAGCCATCGTCTGAAACGGACCGGAAAGTCTGCACAGAAGTTGAGCGGATCCGAGCCGCACGCGACCAGGGTCGCTCATCGCTTTGTCGCACTCCGACAGTGGCGCAATCTTGGAACAGCCGGGCCTTCCGACTCGCATCGTATTTACCAGCATTCTCCCCGGCGCTCACGTAGCGCCATCAGTGCAACAAGGGCGCTCGCATTTGCGGCTGGCATAACGATCAACAGCGTTGCGGGATAGCTCATTCACCGGCGACCCACCATCAGCCCAGATGCCGGTTCTAGAACAGTTCAAGAACTTCATACGTCATGGCAAGGCGGCCAAAGACGGGTATGGCGGTTCACACCGATACGATGTAAGTCAACTCCCCATGTTCCTTTGCTTGGAATTGCTACAAGAGAGCCGCACTACTCACCTTGCTTTCTTGCTCCTTTTATTGAATCATGTTGCGTCTCCTTAGGGCTTCTCAAACGAGGACGATCTGCGAGCGTCTATGGGTAGCAACATGCCCATCATCGTTGCCAGCGGAAGCCCAGGGCATACTCAACAAGGCTTAAACCCGTCAACAGCATCCCACTTACCTCCTTTCCAACCGTCCAGCGGAGCCGCCACGTCCGGCATGGACACCACGCCCGTCGTCATCAATGGCGGAGCCGCAGGCGTTCCCAACTCGAACGGCAGCTGCGGCTCCAACAGCGGTGTCGCCTCCGTAGCTGCTGCTGTCAGCAACAGCAACAGCCGCAACCAGCCGCTTCCGTCACCGGGAGCGCAGGCACACAAGGACGTCGCGGCGCAGATCGTACAGGAGGAACGCGAGGCGAGCGAAAAGATGCCGAGCTACGAGGGATTGACCGAGCGCTTCGTCTTACTAATGAAGATGGGAGAGTGAGTGCCGAGCACACCGCTGTGACGCACGCCCGATGATGCTGACAATGGGTTTCTTCCTTTATCTCTCTCCAGTGGCGCATTCTCAAACGTCTACAAAGCGCGGGATCGCAAGACAGGCCAAAAGGTCGCCATCAAGGTCGTTCGGAAATTTGAACTAAGCAGCAACCAGGTGAGTTACGCTTCCGCTCGTGCCTCCCGTCCGGTCCCTTTCCTTCTTCTGCTCCGCTCGTTATGCCGTGTGCTTTGGTGATGGGCCGGCGGCATCCTTGCACTGGCTCAGCTCGACTCTTTTCGGGTCAGCTCCGCCGTCGTGTCATGCTGCTGCGTAGTGTTGCGTCTCGCTGCGTCGGGCTGCGTCGGGCTGCGCGTGGTGCGCCCTGTCCCATCACGGTCGCTGCCGGACATCCCCTTTGTCTCGGTCTTTCCTTGTGAGGGCCTTGGTACAGCTGGCCACAACCATCAACTGCAGCAATAGCGAACACCAATAACAATAACATCAGCCGCGGTGGTCTTGGCAGCGTTGCTTTAAGGCGAACACGTCCAATGCAGAACAGTCCACATTCAGCTTTTCAGATCATGTCCAGCGTACCGCACGGCATGGCCTGGGAGGTCACTATCCAGTGGCCCTCCTTGTCTCGACACTCGACTTTCCAAATTGACTCTAAGCAGTCTCTCCACTTCTACCTCTTTTCACTTTTTCTTTCACTTCTACTTTCCGCCCTCGTCGCATGTCGAGGGTGCATCTTTTTTCTCTTCTGCTTCTTCACTTCACATCTACCAAAGCCCGGTGTGCGATGCGATGGCGGCAGGGCGCAAGCGGCACCAACAGCGTGCCTCGGTCCCCTGCGCAGTTCCGCGAAGGCCGAGACACTCTGCGCTTCCCTCCCACTCCTACGTCCCGCTCCTACCCTTTCCAAGATAGATGAAGGAGGAATGAAACGAGAAGAAAGAAGCGACATCCCAAGCTGACCGCCCGCCCATCCACGGTCTTTCTTCTTCCCCCTTTTTTCTCCTTTCGATTCCCTGTGCCCTTTCCCCTTTTCGCTCTCCATATCATGTCCTTGCGCTCGACGAATTTTCCCCCATCCATCGCCTTGCAACAACGCTACCGGTCGCACCTCTCAATCCATCGCCACAACTATGCATCGACTATCGCTGAACCTGTGCCCTCTCCGCCTGGTCTCGGAAACGGCCGCTCATTGTCCAACATGCTCGCACGGTGTCGCACTCGCGCCGCCATTGCTATTGCGGCCGCTGCTGGAAACTGCACCTCGCTGCCTTGTGGCTGCTTTGTTTGCGTTTCCCTTTCGCTTCCTTTTTTCGCCGTTCCTCTTCCCTGCTTGGCCTCTCGTCTCGCTCGGTGATCACACCTCTGGACCTTTGACGATCTGCGTTCCCCTGTTGGATGCGTTCGCCTGCACGCTTTGGATACTGGCTTCCATCGCTCTGTAGGACGCCCGTTTGGACCCGCAGTTTCGCAAGAAGAACAGAGTCACCGAGGTGAGATAGGGTGGCAGCTTTGTCGTTTCTTTCCTTTCCTCTTTCTATGCGTCATTCTCGTTCTGCGCGGCTCTGCGTCTTGCATGTAAAGTCGAGGAACAGCCGTTTGACTGAAGCTCTCCTTCCTCTTCGCCACTTCGCAGCGCGCCAACATCCTCAAAGAGGTACAGATCATGCGCGGACTCAAACACGAAGGGATCGTCCAGCTGCTGGAGTTCTCCGAGTCAAGAGATCACTATTATCTCGTCCTTGAGCTGCTGGAGGGCGGTGAACTTTTCCACCAGATCGTCAAGTTGACATACTTTAGCGAGCCACTCGCAAGGCACGTCATCCTGCAGGTCGCCAGAGGTATTCGGTACCTCCACGAGGAGAAAGGAGTCGTCCATAGGTATGTGACGCAAGCCGTTACGAGGCCCGCGAAGACTGGACGTGCTGACAATGACTCTTGAATTGCACCCTCACAGAGATATCAAGCCAGAGAACTTGCTATTTGAGTCGATCAACATCATCCCTTCCAAAGTTAACAAGGCGCGACCGTACGATGAAGAGAAGGAGGACGAGGGCGAGTTCATACCCGGCCTCGGTGGTGGCGGTATCGGACGCGTCAAGATTGCCGACTTTGGGCTCAGCAAGATCGTGTGGGAGGAGAGCACGATGACACCATGCGGCACTGTCGGCTACACTGCCCCGGAGATCGTCAAAGATGAGCGCTACTCGAAATCAGTAGATATGTGGGCGCTTGGCTGTGTGCTTTACACGCTCTTCTGCGGCTTCCCACCATTTTACGACGAGTCCATCTCGGTGCTCACCGAAAAAGTCGCCAAGGGGTACTACACGTTCCTCTCCCCGTGGTGGGACGACATTAGTGCTTCCGCCAAAGACCTCATCACGCACCTCCTTTGCGTCGACCCGCGGAAGCGGTACACGATCGACGAGTTCCTTGCCCATCCATGGTGCAACGTGCGGGACCCGGCGCCCGAGCTCAACTCGGCCGACATTGTACTGGCCAAGTCGTCCGAGATGCCGCTGGATTCACCGCTCTTGCAGTCGATGAAAGGCACCAAGGCGCAGCGCGTGGCCATGATGTCTCCCGGTATTAATCAGCTCAAGGAAGCATTCGACGTGACGTACGCGGTGCATCGCATGGAAGAGGAGGGTGCCGCACGCAAAGGCTACAACCCAGGCAATCGTGGCGAACTGCTGGGACTCAACGAGGAAGACGAGCAGGATGAGGCCGAGGAAACCGCACGCAAGTACGGCCAGGAGGCAGGGCGGGCCGTCGAACAGCAACGTGGGGCAAGAGGTTTGGACGCAAGCGGCACCAGTGCCTCTGCTGCTGCGCAATCGCAAGCACAGCAGCAACAGCAAGTGGCGCAGCACTACCCTGGTCGCGGTGGAGCGGATCCAAAGCTTGCAGCGGCGGCGCTATACGATGGCAGGGCCGGCCAGCGCGACCGTGGCGCCCGCGCCAACAAGCGTGCGTTTGACCTCAACATTAGCAATGCCACGCTGCTCGGGCGCAGAAACAAGGCTATGGACCCGCAGCTCGGCAGCCTCGATGCACGCATCGCTGCTGGTGGCAGTTCCGCGAGTATGTTGCGCGTGGATTGAGGAGGAGGCGGACCATGATGGACAACGCTGCACGCACGCGGCATGCGTTCCCTAGTGGCGGATACACTGGTGCCACAGGCTAAGAGGCTCGATTAAAGTAGGCATCACGCAAGCAGGCAAGCAAGCAGGCAAGCAAGCAGACCGCAGGCACTGCAGTTGCTGTGCCACGATGCAAAGAGCAGGGTGTTGGCTTTGTTATCCCAGTTATGGCATTAACCATGAACCGTTTCCTTCGCATTTTCAACCTTTGTCGTGTATCATAATCACTATCAAGTCGCATGCTGGATGGAATACGTCGAGTTCCTCCTGATTGAAAGACGCCGTATGATGGTGTAAGGAGGTGAACCCGTGGAGGGGGAGATGGCGAGGTCCTCACCTCCCAGGTATCAAAGGCCTGAGTGCTTTGGACTTCCCACTCGGGATGAAGATCTTATCAATCGACCTGTTCGAGTCCCCCCATGCGATTGTGGCTCTACCGTTTTGCAAGTGCCAATGGAGGAAACCCTCCCCTCCCCCCCCCGCAGGCCGCGGCAACGTTGAATGCATCGTCACGTGATCCCACCAGTCGTTCGGGGTTTCCGTCGGCATATCTGAAATTCCAAGCGGTCGGCTCCCAAACGAGATCCACTATGCGGGACCTGCTGGCTTGAGATATCGCGAGAGTGAAACTTATGTGAAGACTCACGTCGGCAACGAATAAACATCTCGGTGGCCAAATGTATATATACACCAAGGCTGCTTGCAAAATCGTATGAATGGCCCAGCGTACCCACACATCAGTTCCTCCCCCCTCAACTGCGCTTCGTTCGAATTGGCCAATATGCTGAACATATTGGGCGCGCAATTGCGCAAGGTCCGCATCGTCACCGGCGACGATGCAAAGTCATCTGCTGCGGCTGTTGCGGCCTCTTCCGTGGATGAAGGCGCAGCAACCGTTCAGCTAGTGGCAGAAGGCTCGAAAAGCAACTTGCCAGTCATGCGGGACGAAGCCAAGGCGGTACTTCAGAAGCTCGGGGTACCGCTGATTGACTGCCATGCCTGGTGAGTTTGTCGAGCTTCGCCACTCGGGGACGCATGCGTCTAGGTCTTCACCACAAGAACGCTGCCTGTGGCGGTGCTAATCTGCTCGATACCCTCTTTCTGCAGCCCCAACCCATGCACCGAGAATGAAGAACATTCGTCGTTGCACGCCGTCGACCCGTCTTTCCTCCGTACCTGGTCCAAGCAAGAAGTGGACTTTGAATCAGAGCTGCTTGGCACGACATCTCCATTCTTGCGACACGTGCTCGTTTCTACTGGCCAACGGGACTGGCCGAAACACATCGCTGAGGTTAGCGGAAGTTTGGCGCAGCTGCTTTCCAATTTGGCAGCTGGAGAGACCGAGACGACGGACGATGCGGAGGAGTCAGTTCCCCCAAAGGGGTGTTGGGGGACCGCGCCGGCAGCAGCAGCAAGGCAAGGTCTTGGAAAACGGCCGACAAAAATCACGGTCAGCAACTCATCGCATCATAGCCAGTCGGACGAGCTCCACCTTGAGAGCTTGTTCGTTTTTCCCGACTGGCTTTGCATTTCGAATGTCCCTTCCTTGCGGGATGCGCCGGAACAAGAAGCCATCAAGAGAAGCGAGACGGTGAAAACTACCTACCGACGTTGGCTCAGCCCCACTGAGCCCAGGGATGATTTGCCAGAACCCGCAGCCAGGACGATGTGCTCTGTCTTGCCTTATTCGGCCGTCATTTTGTTATGTGAGCACCTCCTCAACGTTCTCTTGCCATAAGTGTTCTTCAACGACTCTGGCGTGCGCTAGTGTTACCATCGTGCACCCATAACTGACTAGTTTGCCTCTCTGGATTTATAGGCTCCCACAAGAAGCGCGACGTGCGATGCCACATCGCTGCGCCAGTGCTGGCGGAAGCGTTCAAGAGCCTCGCTGAACAAGACGGCTGGCACGTGGATGAGAGGGGCGATGACTGCCTCCTGACCCGTCCGCCGCCCCAGCAGGACGGCACATGGTCCGGCCATGTACAGCAACAAAAACGTGACAAGGACGGTCTCCAGGCAGAAAGAGGGTTTGGCTTTGTCGAGCCGGGTGTATCAATAGAAGAGCAGGAGAGGCAGGTTACCGCATGGAGAAAGCGCGCAGCCAGCCCGAGCGACGAGAAGCATCTCGGCATCTTCTATTGCAGTCACATCGGCGGTCATCGGTATGCTGGGAACGGTGAGTCCACCATCCCGTTCAGGTTTATAAGTAGTCTTCGCTCTTGCTCACACAGACAACCGCTTCAACATGCCAGTGATCATTTACTTTCCCAACGGTGCAGGGGTATGGTACGGCCGCGTCTCACCCGACCCTGCCAAGGGTGACGTGGCCAAGGTCTGGCGCGAGACGGTAGTGGGTGGCAAGGTTATTCAAGAATTCCTGCGCGCGGGCATCAACCTCGTGCGCTCTACGCCGTCAAAAGCAGGGCAGCAGCACTTTCGACCTATCAATGACTGGTAGACGATTGATCACAGGCATCACATGGAGCTTGCATAATTATAGAGGTATCACATTCTGCATGAGATTCAACATGTTGCATTTTTGCATTTTTACTTCAATGTCTATACCTCTAGTTGATTGGCTGACGATTTTTCATGCGCGTTCGCATATCCACATGCGATCCGCTAGGGTGACCTTGACTAGCTCCCGTGGATCCGAATGCAGTTGAGGGTACTTGAATTCGACCTGCGACAACGCCTGCACTGGCGGAAGAAGAGCGTGGAACAGATGTGGGCCGGCTTTAGTGTCGCTGGCCAGGAAGCTGCAATTTGGCGTGGCATCAATAACGTGAGTGAAACCGAGCCATTGAGTTGCGTTGGATGAGGAGAGGTCTTCGCGGCGGTCGTACTCCCATGCCACTCCCGCGGAGGCGGACGAGGTGAATGGAAATGCAGAAGGCAATGAAGGGACTCCCAGTGCGCCAGCGGTCGGTCGTTGCAGGTATTTCAGCTGGAAGCGCGTCGATCCGCTCATCGTAGCGTCAACGGTGCTGTGCACAAGCACATTCGTCTCAATTTTGCCATCAAGCGCGTCATGCAGGCGTGCCATCGCCATACCGCCCGGATAGTTGTAGTGCGAGGCGAGCGTCGCGATCGACGCGTGCAGGGCTGTGCCGCAGAGGACGGCTAGCGTACCTAGGCGCATGATCCAGGCACTGAATGCGCTTGTAGCGAAGGTGCTACCCCAGCTGCGAGAGGAAAACGCGTAAAAAGTCATTAAGAGTTTGATGATGTGAGCTCGTGAGCATGAATGCTCACATTTGACCAAGGGCCAGCGCGGAGAAAGCGTTAAAACACGGGACTGTATATATGATGAACCTCCATTCCTTGTGAGACACGAGCGATAGTAGGCAGGTGTGGAAGAGCGGGATGACCAACAGGCCTGTCACACTCTCCAACTTCTTGACCGCCACGTAGTCTTCGTACGAGGACCACAGTCGGAACATGAGCGCCATACCGATGGGTACGAGAACGATGCTGATGGAGAGCGCCTTGGGCAGTGCGGATGTGAAGTAGAATGTTCGGGACATCGTGCCCCAGGCTGCCGACTTGCCCTGCAAGATATTGAAGCTGAAAGCTTCGAACTCTGGGATGAAGTTGGCAGAAATGAGCTGATTCACAGAATAGGGAACGTACGGTAGGCTGCTCGAGTTGTGAATCCCGCTCCAGAGCGGCTTGTCGAACCAAGTCGTAAGGCCTTGAGTTCGGAGAGCATCTTCATCAATACGAGTATGTATCACCAAGGGACTAAGTTCCTCACCAACTGAGATTACGGCGCTGATCAAACCCGCGTGGAACAGATCCCCAAACTTTGCTCGATTGGTTGCAATCAACCATAAGCAACTTGGAGCCAGCACTCCTACCAGCTCGCAGCGAAGGATGGCGGTACAGAAAGTGAGCAAAGTGAAGCCAGCCACTGCAGATGGACTGCTCCCTTGCCACGGCTTGTTCGAGATCAAAATCCAGCGCAGAGCCACGAGCGCTGCCAAGGAATATTAGAGAAGGCTTCAGCGCCGCTGTTATCATTCAAGTAAAGGGTGCTGTACCGTTGAGCTCACTTGGCCCAAGGACTAGCGAGTTGTGCGTCGTCCTCCCAGCCCAAAAGAGAAAATTGAATTGCAAGCCGTGCAACAAGAGAAAAAGATTGCGCGCGAAAGAGCCATCTTGACGGCGCGGACTTTCACTTGTCCCCTTGGATAATCGCTTCGGTTCATCCTCTGGCGACTCGCCGAGTTGACGGACGACCTCGGAAAAATAGAATACGGCTGCTGCATTGAGAAGGCCCAGCACCAGGCGTACTGAAAGACGAGGGTAGTGCGCATAGGAAAGCATGAGCGACGGTGAATATCTCCGTCAAGATGGCGCGATTCTCACCGGTGATCTGAACATCTGCACTGCTTCTGATCAGTCCGCTCCACCTGCCGAGCACGGCGAAGGGGTACACGGCGATGCTCAGCGCTTGCACGCCTAGGAAAGAATGCGGTACCGGATCTGGGAAAACGAAGAATTCGAAGTGCTTTCGCACTTGTTCGCCGTCGAGGAGACCCCAAGCGAGATTGTCGTGCACGGCATTGAGAACGAAGTGCTCTTCGATTTTTGTATATGGCGTGTAGAGGATGTGGGCGACAGTGGCGCCGACAAAGACAGCGAGCGTTAGCCCGTCCCAGATATTCGGCATGGCTTTTCTGCCGAAGGAGGTTGACCGTAGTGGGCCGGCTCAACGAGTATCCGGCTTGATCTTCTGTCAAAACTCGTCCTTGGTTGACCCTTTGTCTGTTCGTGGACTGTGAAGAGATGTCACGATGCTACATACACACGCATCTATGTTATCCATTGTCAGCGTGCCTTTCTTCGCGGGCGGAACGCGACTCTCACATCAGCGAGAACGCTGACTGTCGCATTACCTCTCAACTTCTCATCCTGAATGTAGCTCATCTTAAGCCTGTGCTGATTGTGGACTGAAAGGGCAAGGCGGCTGCATCCTGTTGGAGATCATCTCAGGCGCACGGGCATGACACGCGCATGAAGGGCAACTGCGAGACTTGGCCGCTTTCGACCGTCCGAGCCCTCGCGAAAGCGAGAGTGCAGTGGCTTCGCCAAGAATGGCAGCGTTTCAAGACGAACAGAGTGCCGAGCAGCTGATTGACAGATGCTTCGACAAGTGGGAGGTCGGGGCGACCGATGACGAGGACAAGTGGGACGGAGCTGGACAATCCGAGATGTAAGTGCTTTGACGGCCGTTACCTTTCATCTTTGTCCGAAAGGCTCACATCTTCCATTCTGCTTCAGCTACAGTGCCCTACACCCTGGACTTGGTCGGCACGAGCTGCTGATTGGTCTTTGTGCCCTCCTTCGTCAACATGTGCATCTCTGCAAGCGTGGTGACGAGGAGATCGCAGAGCTCATCGAACACTGCTCGGCTCGCGCAGTGCCAGCCGATCCGGGGGCCGGCTCGGAGCGTTCTGACGATGCCTCTGAATCGGACGGTACCATATCCAAGGGTAACGCCGGAGGAAGGTACATGACGTGGCAGCAATCCAGCATCATCGATGCCTTCTGGCTGATAGATGAAGAGATTCTGGCGTACACTGAGCGCGAACACATGATGATTCTGCCAGGTGCGGGCAGCACGCACGTCATGGCCGGAAGATACAAGCTGGCAGGAGTTTTGCAAATCTTACTGGTGAGCTCTTTTGGTGGAGGAAACGAAGGAAAGTGCTCAACTGCCCTAACCCATTCATTTTGTCCAGGAGCGAGAGGTCGTACCGCGAATCGAAGGAGCGGCAAGGCTAGACGACGAGCTTCTTCAAGCTGCGAAGCTCATCGACAATGCCATGGATTTCAAGCGAAAGGAGGCGCGGGTAAAGACAAACATTCTCTACCGTCAGCAAAAGTTCAACTTGCTCCGAGAAGAAAATGAAGGCTTCTCTAAAGCCCTGGAAGTCATTCTGGGCGGCATGGGGCCTCCGGTCACCGCTTCGATCGAGCAAAGCTCGGGCAAAGTGCTTGTGCACGAGCAAGAGCGAGAGCCGATACGCAAAAAGAGGGCTGCCAAGATATGGAGGAATCTGCTAGCACTCATTGGCTATTTTGATCTGGAGCCCAATCGTGTCTTGGATCTGATTCTCGATCTCTTCATCACCAACGTCAACCGGCACTACCCGTTCTTTCTTTCACTGATCGCAGCGAGCCAATGGGGCTCAGCCAAGGGGAAGGAGCGGGCTTCGAGTGACGAGTGTATGAACGACAGCGCGGACGACCTAGGCCAGGTAAAATGGCTGGAAGAGGAGAAGGGAAATTATGTCTGCGCGCAGATTATGGGGTTCAAGCTCAAGTACTACATGAAGGAAGACGTCCGAGAAGATGCCCCCCTGGAGGTCCATGTTACCATGGCTTTGCTCATCCGCCATGGGTTCATTAAGACCACCGCCATCCTCAATCATATCTTGAACAAGGATGCAATGTGCGTGGCACATGATGCGTACAAGAAGTCACTGAGCGAAATGGCCTCGGCAGCATCCGCCAACGCCCTCACTATGTCTGCACCCCTCGTTGACGATGATGCTGGCAACCGTGTGACTGCCAAGAATGAAGAGGAAAAAAAGGGACCTCTCAAGACGCTCCAGATTGTTGGCGCCATCCGAGCCTTCTTGTCTCTGGGCATGCTGCAGCATGCCACACTCTTGCTTGCGAAATGGCCATGGATCTTGACGGCGCATGAGGATGTCGCCATCCTCTTTTGTCGTCTTCTCCGACCGGTCGTTCGGAGGGTGTACAACACGATGGCCGTCTCAGCTGCAAGTGAGGAGCAGCCCATCTCCGCGGAAGGCAACTACGCTCTCGTCGCTCCGCGCAAGTGGGACACAAAGAAGGGGGCGCTCTTGCCTCCGCCTCCACCGACAGCTGAGATCGTCTTTGTGGCACCGCCGCCACCGGATACTGTTGCCAAGCGCTTCAGCTTCTTTTACAGTGACTGGCACACCCAACTTCCAACGCCCTCTACTGCTGAGCAATTCCTGCAAACGGTCTACCCTCTGTTGAAGATGCTAGGCTACAATCTCTATGTGGATCCGTTACTCTTTTCACAAATCTGCCGGATCACAGGCGCGGGATTCACAGCATGTCCTGGATTCGACGAGCACGGCCGCAACCAATGGCTGGACATCGTTCGTGGCAACTTGCTTGGTGCATGCTCGCTTTCGGATCCGAACACTGCTATCCTTTCTGAACTGTGGACTGTCTTCAAGACACTCAATTATGAGGCACGGTTTAAGCTCTATGGCGAATGGAAATCGCTGTACATGAAGCCCGAGCTGAAACACTGCAAGACCAGGACCGAAAAGGAGGCCAAAGGGGTGCTCAAGCGCGTCTCCTCAGATCCAAAGGCTCAGCGTCTGATTGGTCGGAAGCTGGCCAAAGCGGCTCATTCGAATCCGATCATCTTTTTCGCCGTCGCCTTAAATCAAGTCCAATCTTACGAAAACATGATCGGACCAATCGTTGAAGCGGCACGAAGCTTGACTGCGCTCGAATTTGACATCTTCACTTGGTCACTTCTTGATTCTCTGTCGGCGGAAAAGCAACGCATGAAGAATGACGGCACGAATCTTGCCGGCTGGCTTAAGAGTCTTGCTGCGTTTGCGGGGGCACTTTACAAGCGTTACTCGCTCATGGACTGCGGTCCTGTCCTTCAATATATCGTCAACCAGCTGCATGAGAACAATGCGAATGACCTCATCGTCATGCGCGAACTGATTCTCAAGTTGTCTGGCATCGAGCCGCTCGCCAACCCTTCGGACCGGCAGGTCGAGGCGTCTGCAGGCGGAGACGCGCTCAAGCGGGAAGCGACGATGGCGAACGATGGGGGCCACGGCACGCAAGCTCGTGCGCTCTATCAAAAGAACGGCGAGCGGCTGCTGGGTATGGTCCGTGCCAGTGGGATGATGCTTCCCCTTCTTATCCTCATCGCGCAACAACAAGATGCGTGTATTCACCTCGTCGCCGACGAAGAAGCACACCTCAAATTCCTCGGCCAGCTGTTCGACACCTGCTCGGAGGTCCTCTTCCAATACGTTGAATTTCTCAATAGTTTTCTCGACGCTCCAACGTACGCCTCAACCATTCCAGGCCTGCAGGCTCTTGTTGAGCGTTTCAAGATTCGTCCAGCCATCGCATTCCACATCGCTCGGCCAGAGCTCACACGCCTGATGAGCAAGGCGGAGCACAAAGCGCGATCGGAGCGCCTTCGCAAGCTGGCTGCTGACACTAAGGCCAAGGTTGCAGCTGCGGCTGCAGCTGCTGAGTGTGCGAAAGGACAGGAAGCGAACATCGCTTCTCAGCCGGACGCGGCGGAAGGCGTAGATGGCACAGAAGGCAAAGAGGATGCGGAAACAAAGGTGGCGGAGATTTCCAACACCGTCGACGGCGCCCAAGAGACTCAGCAGAATGGCGATGCTTCCATGCAGGACGCTGTGTCTAATGGAACCGCTGTGGAACGAGCAGGGGCTATATCAGAGTCAACCACAATTCCGGAGAAGTGTGAGGAGGCGGAACCGGTGGAGCCGTGGTGGCAGGATGTGCTGTCTTCTGTGGAGGCTGCAGCGCTATCCTTCTTACCTGAGGACTTCACCTCAGTCGCCAGCGCTGGCTTCTATGCTACGTTCTGGCAACTTAGCCTTTCGGACATTGAGGTTCCGGTGCAAAGATACAAACAGGAGAAGAACGCTATACTCGCTGTCTACGCGAACGCCCCATCCGACCGCCAGGGCGAGCAGACCAAGAGGCGGCTGGCAGAGGCGTCCAACACTCTTGAAGCTGAGCAAAAAGCGCAGGAAGAAAGAGCGAAAGGGACAAAGCTTCGGCTTGAGGCAGAAAGGAAGACATGGTTTGTGCAGGGGAGCTTGCAGGACGACCTTGCCTGGGCGGTATTGCAGCATTGCATCTTGCCCCGCTCGCTCCTCTCACCGGCCGATGCCATCTTCAGTGCCAAGTTTATCCGTCTTTTGCATTTATATGGCGCCGATAATCTGTCAACCATCACTCTTTACAACAAGGTATGTGTTTACAACCCATGGCATGCTTTAGATGTACGCTGACGAAACATGACATAGCTCTTCGAGTACGTGCGACCAACGCTGTTTATGACGACGGAGAACGAAGCGCGAAATTACTGTAAGTTCAGCCTAGCTCCTCCGCTATGAGTCTTTGGCTTATTTCCTCGTATCCATCTAGCTCGCTTTTTGCAAATCATCTTGGCCGACCTGGAAAGATGGAGGAAAGATGCGACAGCTTACTCAAACGAGGCCGTTCCATCCCATCTACATGGCTTCGATACGGTGTCGGAGGATGGCACTTCGACCAAGCTCGAGCACGTCGATTTTCTCAAGGTTTATGCAGAATGGCATCAATCCTTGTTCGACGTAAGTGTTTTGTCGGCAGGCAAACTCCTGTTCGTTTCGTCCTGATTCTTTTGTTATGCAACTCCAGGCTTTCTCCTTTTGCATCGAATCTCGAGAGTACATGCGTTTCCGCAATACCATCGTGGTCATGACGCGAGTTGCAGAGCTTTTCCCAATTTTAGGCGACCATGGTTCCAAGCTCGTCGTGAAGGTCGAAGGAGCTGCCATGGAGGAGGCACGCGAGGACCTCAAGATCTTACTTCAGGGGCTTCTGGCAGTGTTGAAGAAACACGAGAAGCGATGGCTTGCGAACATCAAGGGTGGACATTGGGAGCCTAAGCAAAAGCTGCCGCCCAAGCTGCCGGCTACAAAAAATTCCTCCGCGGCGACAAAATCGTTGCGTCCCGGCAACGAGCCTGCGCCTTCAGCAAATGCTCAAAGGGAGTCTTCGATTGCAGCGAATGTGGACGTCAACGGGAATGTATCCGCCGATGCAACACCGCCTTCAGAACCGATGAGAAGCACGTCGATCCGAGGAGTTGCGGCTGCCCGGCGCGACCAAGAAGAACGTACTGCAGCTGAACAGAAGGCCGTATCGCAGGCGCCCGCACCCGGCGAATCAAGCGCCGACGCCGCGACTGCGCGCGATGCTGCGCTTGCAAGTATGCGCAACGGGCGTGCAGCATCGTCTGCTTCAGGCAGACCAGGAACGCCTGGCAGAACAAATCCTGCGGAAACGCCGCGCAACCTTTTGAGCACTGAGATACCGATCCGACGCGAGACCAGTGAAGAGCCTCCTGCTGGACCATCGGCCGCGACTCTTGCAACCCCGCACCAGCCGGCAGCTGAAGAAGCGCGAAACTGGAAACCTAGCCGCGAGTCCAGGGCAGCATCTCCGGCTACTGTGCCCGTACGTTTGACCCGGGATAGACGGGGAGCCGACGCACTCTCAATTCGGGCAAGAGATCGTGACCGGCGTGATGAGGAGCGTGACCAGAACCGCAGAAGCGATATGGAAAAAACTCGAGACAGAGAGGCTGACGAACCGAGTCGTGACATGAAGAAGGAGGCCGAGCCTGCCTCCGACACGATACGGCGCTGGGGTCGAAACGATTCGACTTTGTCTAGAGGTCCGCGGCACAGCGCGGGGTCGAATGCAGTGGAACCGCCAAGAATCGAAAGAAGCCGCGGGCATGATACGCAAGGCCCTTCTTCAAGGGATGGCCGTCGTGGCAGCAGGCAAGCCTCGCCTGGTGACACTGCGCGTGACAATGTCTCCATTCCGACTGGCCCTGCTGCAGACCGCCGGCCTTCAGGAAGAGCTGCTCAGCCAGGTGTAGCTGATCCGTCTGCAAACTCACCTTCTGGACGCAAGCGGGGAAGGGTGGAAGAGCCCAGCGCACTTGCTGTTCGACTAGGCTCTCAACCCACGGGCACACCCAGCAATGACCCTTCAGATCCCAAACGGCCAAGACTCGGAGATTCTCCGAGAGAGGCCAAAGGCAGGAACGGCACCAGGGCCGATGCTGATACGGACAGCGGTAAGCGTCCGAGCAGTTCTGCTCGGGATTCACGAGACGGGCAAGGTGGAACGCACAAAGGGCGCGGTGCAAATCTTGCTGATCCAGTTGGTTCTACACAAGATTCTGGGTGGGAAGGCAGACGCATCAAGAAGGAAGAGGACGGCACGCGAGAACAGAGGGCAGCGTGGGAGGGTGTCAGGGCCAAGAGGGAGAGTGCAAGGGAAAGGGAGCGTGCAGCAGAGCTTGAAGCCGACCATAGCAGGGACCGTCACCGGGGTGACGATCGCCGTCGAGGTGACCGCGATCAACGCGACAGCGCTCGAGAGGATCGCGACTTGTTCACTGAGCCATCCAGGCCTATCGATCGTGATCGTGCACAACGTGAGGCAGACCGATCTGGCCGTGAACGCGAACGCGACCGTGACTACCCACGCGGTGGCGGCCATGCGAGCACTACGCGCGGCGGCGACCGAGCCCGCATGAGTGACGCGGAACGGGATGCAGGTCGACCCTCGCACACTGACCGTTTAATCGACCTTCAACTTGAAAGCACAAGCGCGAGCCTCTCGGAAGACTCTAGAGGCGAAAGCGGAAGGAGCAGCGGGCGCCGCAGGAAGCGTGAAGGACGCGAGGGAGGGCGGCGGGACAGGTCGGACAGGCGCTCTGGCGCTGTCGAATGAACATCTACTGAGGGTACGTGCAAAACATACGTTGTGCCTTTCTATGTATTTCATACAGTCCAAAGTCGAAGCGTGACGGCTGCACAATGTCAGCCATCCATCTTCTCTGCTCCTTCATCCTGAAAGCCCCAGATCGTCTGGATTCCAGCCCAAATCGTATGCTGCTGCAAGCTCGCCTTCAAGGTCAGTGTCGACATTTTGCGTATCCTCTTTGGCGTCTCGTTCTTTTCCTTCTTGCGCATCCACGATGTGTTTGCGCAGCTCTAGGATTTTATCGACATGCAGCGTCGCTTTCTTGCCCCACTGCCCTCCGGTCTCTGGCCGAAACTCGGTGTAGAGGGAATATGCGAGGACGTGCAGCTTGTCGGCGTTCAAATGCGGGCCGGCGTCCGCGTCTGCGCTGGATTCATCAGCTGGGCCTGGGGGGGCAATGGTTTCTGCCTCTTCCTCTATTTCAGACTGGGGCTTTGCCGGATCCCCTGGCTTCACTTCGAGATACGAATCGGCGAGCAGGTTCAAGGCGCCCATGACGATTGGAAGCGTTTGGTACATCGAGTTACGGAGATAATTCCAGGCCTGCCGAGAGTATTTCGTCGGTGTTTGTAAGCGTCGCGGTTCATATTTCGCTTTGCTTGGCGACTGCTTAAATTGTGAAGCACACACACCTTGTCAGGCCCAACCACCTCGCCCTTGCTGATACCGCGATAAGCACCATTCTGCAGCTGCATGACGGGTATACGCAGGCCCATCAGCTCAAAATGCGGTTGGTTCGTTCCAACGCGCTGCGATTCTTTCTCTTTGGCTGCAGAGGCCGGTAGCACGCCAATTGATACTCCGCGAGCGGTCGAGGTGGCGTTGACATAGCAATGGGCTGTGCACGAACAGAAGAGGTTGTCAAGGTAAGGCGCGAAGTGTGTAAGGGAGGTCGATACCAGACAAAGCAACATGGGCCACCCACCTAAGCTGAGGGCTTCATCCGTCTGAAACCCAAGCTTTTCTAGAATTACAGTCGCCCATGCCGTCATGACCGGTGCGCGGTTGACCAGGACATATTTTCCCCTTAGCCACGGCTCTTCGAGCACCTCGTTGAACTGATACTCGAACAGTTCGCCGGACGAGTCGCCTGCGTCAGCACCAGCTTTGGCATAACCTGAGGCAGTAGATGAGGATGGAGGCACGTCGCCCCAGTCTTTCCCAATCGAGCTCGGAGTGAACTGTAGGCGTTGTCGCTTATTTGGAGACGAGGCGCCAACGCCACCGGTTGCATTCCCACTATCCTCCGCACCAAAACTGCCGGCGGCAGCGCCCGCTCTCGAAGCTCCCTTCGCACCACTTGCGCGCTTGATGCCTCGTCTCTGGGGTACTGCTTCGGCACCTTTGATGGCTCTGAGCGTCTTGGCGCGCATCTCTTCTCCTTCGATGCCTAGCTCTTGCAGGATGATCATGCTGAGCTGTGCTAGTTTCGTCGTCCTATTGTAGCCCTTGCTGAAGAGCTTGCCAGCGACGGGCATTGCTTCACGCATGGTGAGCAACGATGTGGGCGATGATGTCGACGTTTGGAACTGTGTAAATTGCTCACTTTGATAGTTCGAATTGATGGTCGACGCGGGCGTCGTGAGGAGCTTGAGTAGCTCGTGGAGCGTCAAGGACTTTGGCGGGGGCGGGGATTCCTTTTTGCGATGGTCCACGGCGTCGTAGTCATCTTCGTAACCGTTGGACGGAACCGCTTTCGCCTTTCCCTTAGGGTCAGGCAATGGCTCATCGAATGGATCCTTGTAGACCTGCCGATGCCGAAATTGCTTGTTGCCAGCGGGGTTCTGTTTCGCGAAGCTCGACGGTGTCCGACTGGCCGTACGAGCGGCCTCGAAGAGCTTGGACGCGCGCTCAGACGTGCTTGCCTCGGACGGCGTGCTTTGCTCCTTTGGCCTCTCTCGCCAAGCGTTTTCCCTCCAAGACATGGCCGGTCTTTGACTGATACACTCTCCCCTTTCTTTCACGCTTTTAGAAGTTGTGCTCCGGTATTTCTGTTGGCATTGCAAGTTAACGAAAGGTTATTTGCATAGCTTGTATCCCAGACTCCCAGTTTCGTCTCGTTTGATCACTGATGTCATTGGCAGCCGCGAGGTATGGGTTGGGTTAGGGTTATGGGCGAGGATCAGCTGAAATATGTGTTAGGGTTACGCGACGCGACACGAAGAAAACTTGACGTGTCGCGACAGGCTGACGCGACACGTCGCTCAGCACACATACCTCGTCCCTAGCACTGCAATGCATATATATATATATGCACATCCGCTGCACATTCATCCGTCAGACACATGCTGCCCAATGGACTATACCATCCAGTGCAGAGGCGATTCCGTTCAAGCAGCTTAGAAGCAGAGAACTCTCTGATACTGCCGGGAGAACGCACCCTAGGCGTGTCGCCAAGTGATCCGCTGGAGGAGCAGCCCGAGCGACACCACGCCATCGATTGACGCTATACGCGGCTGCGAAGCACATATCAACCCATCTTCTCTATCTTGCTGGCCCGCCCACATGCCTGCGTCGGCCAAAAGCCGTACTGATGTGTCGCCGGGCATACCTGCGGCCATTTCCGTCATGAGTTCTGCAACGACACCCGCGTTGGTTACGAGTGCATCAGCACCCGTCCCTGCAGTTGCTGCTCCACCCATCTCCATTATCTTGCGTGGGCCTTCCACTACTTCACGCACATTCTTCACCGCCTTGCCTCCTACCCTGGAAGTGAGCTCTGGGAGGATAGACTGTACGGTTAGGTGCGACACGAAGCTGACTGTTGTAACTGTTTCTTGCATCATTCTTTCTTTTGCCAGGATCTGCTGGCCAAAGCGCGCAAGCTATTCAACATTCCAACCTCTCACACGCCATATATCACACTGGGCTCAGATGAACGCGCCATCATCCTGGAAGACTCTATGCCTTTTTTGCGGGACCGTGAGCTGCTCATCACAAGGTGGAACCTCGAAAGCCCAAGCAACAAGGGCTCGCGGCCTGCTTCTTCGTCGAGCGCGTCAACGGGGACGCCTCTCGCTGCTTTAAATTGTGGCAGCACCAGGAAAGTCAGATTCTGCGAAACTGCCGTGGAGGAGGAGGACAAGAAGAAGAAAGAAGCGGCGCAGGGCAATGGCACTGCTAGTCCCAGCGCCGGCGTGTCTGCTGCTGAGTCCTCGTACTTTGACTCTGTGTCTTCATCACAAAGGTCGGCCAGCAGCAACGGCAGCAGTTCACCCAAACAAACCAAAGAAAGTGCCAGCGGGGGCATCGGCGGTAGCATTACGACTAGCGTTGCCAGTGCCAGCTCGCCCGTGAGCAAAGGCATGCTGTACGATCGAAACAGTGCTCCTTCGTCCTCCGCTTCGATGCGAGCAGGCACAAATTCCAGCGCCAACTCCATTTCACTAAGCACATCTCTATCGCCTTCTCACAAGTCGTTCGATACCCCGATTTCCGCCCCAACTGCTTCCCCAGCTGCCGACCCAGTAGCGACATTGCCAGCCGCCCTTGCACAAGCTCAAGCATCGGCGCCAGTGCACGTACAACCGACGCTGCCCTTAGCTACGATGGCACCCGGCTCTATCGGCAGCAGCGCGATGGCGCGCGCGGCGCATGCGCAACGCGTCTTGCAGAAAGCAAAGGAGCGCATCCTCCGGGAGGACGCAGAAGCGCAGCTGAAGGAGGAGCTAGAGCGTGAAGCAGAAAGGGAGCAAGTGGCTCAACAGGAGCGTCAGCGTGAAGCAGAGCACGCACATCACCGCCAGCTTGAGCTTGAGGAGAAGCGTGAGCGCGAGCGCCAAGCAGTGCGCGAACGCGAAGCGGAACACGAGCGAGAGCGCAAGAGAGAAGAAGCGGAGGAGGCTGAGAGAGCGTGTCTCCAGGCAGAGGAGAGAGAGCGTGCGCACAAGGAGGAAGAGGGGAAGCGCGAGCGACTTGCACAAGAACGGCAGGAATATGCCGCACAGCGCCAGCAGCAACTGCAACGCGAGCGCGAACAACAAGAGCAAGAATGCGCACGCTTGGAAGAGCAGCGCAGGCTCGAGGAGAACAAAAAGCAGCATATCATGGCGGCGGCCCGAGAACGAGCACGTGCTCGGGAGCGGGAGCGCCAGCGTGTCAACGAAGAGAAGGTCGAGAAGGCCGAGCGCGAGCGTGAAGAACAGCTCAAGCAGGAGGCACAAGCGCAGCGTGAGCGGGCGGCGCATCTCGAGCGTGAGCAGCAACAGGAACAGCCACAGCCGCAAGAGCAGGACCAGCAGATGAAGCAAGCAGCTCCAACGGTAGATTTGCGACTTTCCAACCGCTCAAGGCGTCTCTCTACCGCTGCTGCTCTGGACAAGGATATTGAACCCGAAGCCGATGTAGAGCCCGCGTCTTCCAGCACTGCCGTTGAGGACGCGTCGCCCTCGCCGCCGCCGCTCAAGACGCGTACCGGACGAAAACAGCAGCACCAGCAGCATCGACAGGAGCAGGACCAAAAGCATCAGCAGAACAGATCATCGGCACGGAGGAAGCAGGAGCTTATTTCACCGGAGATGCACTGCGATATCATCCCTGCGTCTGATGACACGCTGCACGAGCAGGAGGAAGAGATGGAGGCAGAAAAGGCAGCGCTCAAGTCGGCTACAAGCAAGCCATCTCGACGTACGCGCCGCAGGAAGGTTGATGAGTATTTCCGCAGCTCTCCGCAGACTGCAATCGTGCTGTCTTCGTCGCCGATTGTTGCTCCTCTCCAGCTGCCACTTGTCAAAGGCAGCGATGATGTTCAGGACGAAAATGAGGACATGGAGGACGCGGACCTTGCCCTGCGGCCGACTTCGCCATTGCTTCAGAAGCAAAGGCAGATGCATCCGCATGAACAAGCGCAAACACAGTTACATGCAGCAGCACAAATGCAACTTGTCATCGACATTGAAGATGCCGACGAGATGGCGGTCGCAGAGGCGCTGTCCAATCAGAGCCAGTCGTCGTCTGACATGCAGCCCAGCCCATCTCCCACCAAGCGCAGCCACGACAGTACGGGGATATGGCAGGCTCGCAAGCGCCCAGCGCTCATGGGCCGCCAGGCTCCGGTTGCCGCGTTGCAGGACGAACAAATTTCGGCCAAAGACTCTGAAGTGCGGGAACAGAAGGACGAGCACGAGCAGACTCATGCTAATGAGATTAAGAAAAGTCCGATTGAAGCGGCGCGAAGAGCGTATGAGTTAGCGCGACAGGTCCTTGAAGCGATACGCGTTCATCCCAGCAATACTGGACCACGCAAAGCTCTCTCTGGTGTCGGCGCTGTGCACCTCAGTGACATCTTGAAGAAAATCAGCACACGTGCATATGACGATGATGCGACAGAAGACGAAGCTGCGACAGGCGCATATATGATACAACGCTTACAGATAGATCTCAAGCACATGTTCAGCGCTGCGAAAGCATTCCATGGCCCGCGCTCCTCCCTAGTGGACGGCTGCGAGATTTTGGAGACCTTTGCCTCTGTGTATATCGACGAGATCCTGAGGAAGCTGCGGCGCGAAGCTGCAGCCGCCTCCAGTACCGCCATCTGCGAGCGTGCGCAGGCCAACCAGACGACCTGGGGAGACTTGATCAAGAGTGAGGACGGTGCTGCGCAAATGCTATCCATTGTTCCCTTGGGCTGACAACGTGTCCCTGCTACAGACGCCGCACCGACCTTCCCATCCTTCCCCCCTTACATCGGCAAAATTTCGAAGCCACTGCCACGAGGTGGTGCACGCGGGCGGGAGCTCGACCGTGCGGCTCCCAGCTCGTCAATTGCTGCCTCTCCGGTGGATACCTTGCGCAATTCGAGCTCGAGCGAGCATCAGAGCGGAGCAGGCAAGTCGTTCTGGGACTTGATGCCGAAGGCTGCCCCAGGCAGGGTTAAGCGCGGATGATCCGGCGCTGCCCAGCCGCCAGGGCGGGCCTTTGACGATTCGACTTATAGCATCGTCTAGCGTGAGCCATCTATTATGAAAGCAAGACTGCGAAAAAACAACAAGTTGTATTCTAAACAAGCAATTCGGGTTCTCATAAACTCCCTTCCCGGTGACGTCCATATCTACCGCGCAGGTCGACTCATCAACAAGTTGACTTGCAGGCTGCAGGAGAGCCGAACCTCATGCGCCCTTTTGTACGGAGAAAAGGCTTCTCACGCCGTGAGAAATCCGCATGTTGAATTCATATGACTTGAAGCGCAGTGCTACTTATACCAACGTGAGGCAAAAAGTGAATTACCTCGGACCTTGACGAGAAGTCAAGGGAACTTGGAATAAGCGGAACTGTAAAAGGTATGCCACCCGTGGGACTCGAACCCACACGTCGTGAGACACCGGGATTCCTGCGCAGTCGCAGAGAAGAACTTAAATCCGACGAGGCTACCATTTCTCCAGGGTGGCCCAAACAAATATGAAAATATGAAATAGTATATGTTTGATTCAAAATCTTTTCGTTCTATTTTCATTTCGATCAATGGATTTTGGACTGTCCGGCATTGGCTTCCGGGTTCCGCTTTTCCACTTCAAATCTGGCGGTTTCTTGATTGTGCACAGGTCTCAGTACAAGACGCATATTAGCGGTGGCATTCTCAATGGCCTCATCCTCAAAGCATGCCTCTAAACGCAATAATGCTAAGCAGCGCCAGCGATAGATCGCTTGCATAGTAGCACAGACCTCGTTACCAGGGAACCGGAACAGTGTTGGCATCATGAGTCGTCCCGAACATCTGGCGCCGCCAGAGCTGTTTTATGGCGACACCGAAGCGGCCAAGTACACTGCAAAGTAAGCGAGTGAGGGTCCGCGGCGATTAGTATATCTGCATGCAAATGCTGATCCTCGCATTTGTCTTTGGCAGCACTCGAATCCAAAAGATTCAGTCAGAAATGACTGAGCGAGCGCTTCAGCTCCTGTGTCTCCCCGAATGGAAGAAGCCTGCACTCCTTCTCGATATTGGCTGCGGCTCGGGCTTGTCAGGCGAAATCTTAACTGAAGAAGGACATGAGTGGGTCGGGCTGGATATTAGCCCCTCCATGCTGGAAGTAGCACTGGAAAGAGATTGCGAAGGGGACCTATTGCTCGCAGACGCTGGACAAGGGTGTGGCTTTCGCGCGGGATCTTTTGATGGTGCTATCAGGTGAGACGTGCGCTCTTCGTCACCAAAGACTGTCCATCATTGCTGACCCCCTTCGATATCTGTTTTGTTAGCATCTCTGTCTTACAATGGCTTTGCAATGCCGACACTACTGCTCATTCACCAGCCGCTCGCCTGTCCACATTTTTCACCTCCCTCTACGCATGCCTTTCGCGCGGCTCTCGTGCTGTCTTTCAATTCTACCCCGAATCAGACGAGCAAGCGAGATTCATTATGTCCTTTGCCACACGTGCTGGCTTTGGCGGTGGTCTCGTTGTCGATTTCCCAAACAGCAAAAAGGCGAAGAAGTTCTACCTTGTGCTTTGGGTCGGCGGAGAGATGGTCGGTCGGAATGGAGAAAGGCAGGCGCAAGAGCTACCGCAAGGTCTCGTGGCTGAGCATGAAGCGCAAGCGGCCGCAGCAGAGCAAGGCGTTGGTATTGGAAGCGTCAAATATGAGGGCAAGAGAGACACAATCAAGATGAGCAAGAAGGCAAAGGCAAAAGCCAAAGCCAATCTCAAAGGTCGAGAATGGATCATGCACAAGAAAGAGCTCAACAAGCGACGAGGGAAAGAGGTGCCGCAAGATTCCAAGTACACTGGTCGCAAGCGCAAGACTGCGTTCTAGTCATTTGCCCTTGGACACCATCTCTGCACGTGTAATAATGTTATACTACCAGCACACTGTATATTACAATTGACGATTGGCTACAACGGCATGGCGACGGCGTCGATGCCAACGCTGCGGCGTGTTCGCACAATGGCGGCCAGCTCCTTTATTGTCTCTTGGAGAATGATGACGTTGTCCAAGATGGCAGACAGTGACGCAGTTTTGCTTCTGGATACCTCATCGTCTCCTCCATTAGTCTGGCCAGGGTAAAATATCTGCGAGTCACCACTTCGGTCCTCGTCGGGGGTGTCAGCCGGACTACCGAACCGCAAGCGCTTGCGTCCGTTGACTGCGGTGGCCGACCAAGGACCTGGCGGAAGCTTTACAGGCTGCATTTCCACTTCGATCGCATCTGTCTTTGCATAGTGAAGTGCAAAGGGAACCGCTTTTTCGATATTGGCTTCTTTGTCTTCAGCAAGTGTGGACGCAGTGCCTTTCGAACGTGCACCGCTGCCTGCAAACCAGCGCATGAATCCCTCGCGTGGCTTCGTCGGCGCCACCTCAGGTTCTTCAGCAACTTTGACCGACTCTGCGGACGAGTGGGATCGCGTCACTTTCACACCCTTACGCTGTTTGTTATCCGAGCTTAGCCGCTTCATAGCGCCCGTAAACTGCTGCTGGTCCACAATCTGGTCATCCGAGCTGACCTTCATTGCCCGCGGGGAAGCTAGATTGACTTCGTCATCCTGTTCAACTGCAATGGCGTCTTGCAGGTTGTCCACAAAGTTGAGCCCAAGGCGGCGTTCTGACAGGAGAGAGTCGAACTCGGGAATTGAATTGCGTATCCCATCGACCTGCTGGGCGAGCCCATAAAGCACGAATAGGACGATTGGTAAAGAAGATTGGTGTGTCGGTGCGGCATCTTTATTCAATGCACCGGGCGAAAAGACGAGCCAACCTTCGATGGCGCGCAACGGGCACAGGCTCAATGCTCCGAGCAGACCAGTGAGAGCGACGTTGACTTCTGGCGATTGTGTGAAGAAACCTGCCAAGCTCTGTATGAGCGTGCGGTAGAAGCGGTCTGCAGGCTTGATGTGATGTCGAAGGCTATCGAGCATATGTGCAAGGCTGTCGCCTGCCGATGAAAGCAGATGATCACCGGCGTATGTCTGCATACCAAAGGCAAATAAACTATCACGCCCGAGTGCATCCTCGACATCTAACAAGCATTGCTCAAAGCCGAAGGAAGAATTGGAAGCTGCAGAGCCCGCAATCGACTCGATTAGAGCGAAGAAAATGCGCATCTCGACGAAGTGCTGATCCAGCGACACCGGCATGATTGATCTGCTCAGCTCAGCACTTTGCCACTCTGAGGCAAGGTTGGCATCGTCAAGAGGCTCCCTCGCGCTGGACTGCCTTGCATGTGGCCTCTTCGACCTGGAACGCGCGAGGAAAGCGGTAGCGTTCACATCGAAATCAGGCACGGTCAAGTGCTTGATCGCGAAGCGCCCGTGCCGCTCAAATAGCGTTGTAGCCAGCCGCAATGCGGCAGTCCGAGCATCCTGCTGGGTCGATGGAGTAATGTGGCCTAAGATGAGGTCCTTGAGGGTGTATCGCCCAAAAGCATCGGTGAAGTATGAAGTGCGTCGCTGGCCATTCTGCTGATGCTGCCCTTCCACCGCCAGAAGCGCAACGCTTTTGCGCCTCCTGACCTTGTCTTCTTGCTTCAAGTTGCTTGGAGATGCATCGTCTGCTGCAAGATAGCCAATGATAACATTGGCCAGTGGGCTTGAATCTTCAATGGACAGCAATATCGCTTCGACATAGCTCATAACCGCTACGGCGCTCCAGTCTGCATCGCTGCATTCGAGCATTGATGGGTAGAGAATGTTTTGTAAAAAAAAATGCCGAATCGCATTTGCCAACGCATCCGCGATATTTTCGCCGATCTCCGTGCGCTGTTGAGCGTTGCCATCGTCCTCGCTGCTCGAACCGGTAACTTCGAGGGTTGCATCGAACACATCTTGCGCGAAATCAAGTAGGTTCTCAAGCACCTTGACCTGGGCTCGTACGAATGGCGAATCGTTGTACTCAATGCCCTGCGCACGGAGCTGCATCGAGAACTCAACCTTCTCTTTTTCACCTTTTGGCCCAGAGCCGATGGACATGCCTAGCGTCTGCGGAGTGCCCTCACCCTCGACACATGTGTCAGATGCCAGCTGAGGCCGTATGGCGAGCTTCGAAGGGAGAAGGCCGTACACTGCGCCTAGGCTGGCGCCAAACACCTCCGCAAAGTCAGACTCCAAGATCATGTGTGCAAGGGCGAGCGTGGGATCGGACCTGTCTCGAGATGCAGACCTTGTAACATCCTCGGAACCTTTCTCCTTAAGCCCCAGAGAGCTCCGACAAGAGGCAGCACTTGCAAATGCACTCTTGCCCATGGCCAGGTTGATACAAAAGAGCGCCCCGGCTCGGGCGACCTCACCAATCTTGCCTTCACGATGAATGAAGCGAAGCAGGTAAGTGAAGATGGGGAAGTCGAATGCCGCCGGTATCTCTTCTTTCGCTGGTACTGACGGAGACTGTGACTGTGCTCGGGCACCATTCTGAGGTGATGTATCGCCCCGCGACGTCTGTCCTGCACGCAATGTTGAAGCGGACGAGTCGGACCCAGCAGGCGAGGGTGGCCGGATGGGAACCTCCTGATTCCGAGCTTCTCCATTGACCCTCTTTGGCTTCAAAAAGATGCTCAAAAGCTCTGGCGCGTTCCGCACTCGGCTGCAGATGTGACAAAGCAAGTCCACCAGATCCTCCTCGTAGTCCTGCCCTTGGACGCCTGCACTCTTCGCAAAGCGTGCAGACGCACGCTCCTCGTCCATCAGCATCCACTCCGCTTCATCCATCAACTCATCCTCATCCTCGTCACCGATGCAGGTGGACATGAGTCTCAGAATAGCTTGGTGCACCGCCTGACGGTAGAGAAAGCGTTCATCGAGAAGAATAGTCAGGTTCGCGAATGCGCGGATCACCTCCTTTTTGATACCGGCAGGTTTGTCGTCTTCACTCAGCTGGACGAGTGTCCCTAAGACTGGCGTAAGCGAAGTAGGAGAGAAGAGAAGTTCAGCTGGGGCCATAAAAGGCCATCGACCGGATCCCGAGCTTCGATGTGAACGAACCATCAGCTCGGAGTACGTATTCCATGCAAGACCCCGTGCTGTCCTCGTCGATACGGTTGTGCTCAAAGACCATGCTGTCCGTCAGGGCTTGTATCCGTTGCGCAAGGTCTGTGCGAGCGATTCCGTAATGTAGCGACCGTTGGTCCGGAGTTTCGAGCCCAAGCTTGTAAGAGGAAACGACGAGATATGAGCGAGTCCGCCTGAGCGCTTTTGGGCACGATCCCGCAGCCCCTGCTCACTTTGATCATCTCCCAATTTCGCATAAAGGTAGACATGGCGTCTTGCTGGCGCTCCCGCCGTTTACCCGCTATCGCTGTTCCCAAGACGCTTCTGGAGCTGCTGGCGAGCCCATATGTGGCGCTGCTGCTGTTGTCGCCGCCGCCGCCAGATGATCGGCTGCGACTTGACTCTGGCTGCCCGCTCATGCGGCGCGCCAGCTTGCTGAAGTAGTCCATCGTTGTGGCAGAATTTTAGGTACGGCAGACTTATGACAGCTGTAAAGCCTATAGGCTGCCGTCCAGTACGCTCCCTTTTTCTAGCTGTGCGCCTTGCTAATGATGGAATCACCTGCCATCCGATCAAAATGGCCATGAGCGCGAATGGCGATCGATTCCAAAGGGAAAGCACCAGCAGGTTGTGAATGGGTGAGTGACGGCCCTGCGATGGTGTTCCGACTTCCGACTGCCGACGTCTCGTGCTCGGTATGAACGGGTGTTGATTTTCGTACCATAAGTTGTTGCTTCTTCGTACCTTGACAAGCCCTTCAACCACGTTCCGCTACACTCTTCCAAGTACGAAACACAACCTGGGCACAAGTTGCTTCGTCTTC